TTATTTTATTATGATTTTTTTGGAGGGCGCTTATCAGTATATATATCTGTGAATTGAAAGAGAAATATCATCTGCTAACTTAAGCATGTAATAATTCCACTATGTTAAAAGACAAATTAAGAGTAGCGAAAGATTGTTTCAGCATATGGATCGCCGTAACCAATGCGTGGATATTGCCACAGAATCCAAATGGCGGAAAATCAGCAAAATAAGACCAGGAAATGGTCTCGGAAGTATAAGACCGAATACAGTATCAAGTACCTGTGTAATCGGAAGTCTGAAAGTAATTCATCATGCATTTTGTACAATTTTTATGTTATTTAAAAAAAAAGGGGGAATTATTTAACTAAATACACATGTAAAATGCTCCAAAATAAGGCTCAGATTGCACCAGAGAGCATCTAGAACCCCAGAGCTTCCAGGGCCCTAAGGCGGGCCCTGGACCCCGGCCGCATGTGTCGGGCGCTACGCGCTCGAGATGTGCGCTACGCGCACATTAATTGGTGTCGATTACAAATCCTCCCTATTTCTGATTTCCAAAAGTTGGCATCTCTGTCCCTCGCAGCACAGTCGACCTTACAGGGTGGCACTTCAACTACAAATTCTTTTCGTTTTGGCACTTCTAATAAACTAGTTGAGAAGGCCTGGTATAGAGGGTCAAAGATCAAATGATATGTTCAAATCAATTGTTGATTGTTATTAACAGGGCACGTAGGATAAATACATGTACCTGATTTGTAATTTGATCCAATAGATGGCTGAAACATTTTTGCGCAAACCAATTTTTGTGTTATTATTTTTATTCATTCGAGCGATTAGACCACCGCCCATAATGCAGACGTCGTGAAATTATATTTTGGATGATATAGTGTATACTTGTTTTATACGCACTGTAGAGCTGAGAAAAAGTAAAGAGGTAGAGAGAGAGAGAGAGAGAGAGAGAGTGAGTGAGTGAAAGAGCTAATTAGAGAAAGGGGTGAGGGAGAAAGAGAGAGAGAGGGGGTCAGGGGAAGAGAGAGAGAGGGGAAGATAGATAGATAGAGAGAGAGAGAGAGAGAGAGAGAGAGAGAGAAAGAGAGAGAGAGAGAGAGAGAGAGAGAGAGATGCTGGGGAGAAAGAGAGATGGGGGAGAGACAGAGAGACAGATAGAGAGAAAGAAACAACAAGAATGAGAGAATAGAAATTTAATAGTTCAGTTCATACTGTAATTACTCTGAAAGAGTTCAAATACATTGCAATAGATTGAAAAATATTTTGGGTTTTTCATTATATTACAGCTTGAGCTTGCATTTGAAATATGACCCAATGAAATAAGAGATTTTGAACTCTAATTCATGAATTCTTTAGAATATGTATTTGAAAGTGCCAATGTCATGCTCAGTTAATTTTTCAAGAAAAGGTCAGCCTTTATGCCCTTTATCAATGCAGTAATCTAAATTTAGTATCAAACACAGCAAATTATTTTTTGTATGTAAATGAGTTTATACATTCCCTAATTAAGCAGTTAATCATTCTAGCCTTAATGGCTAGTACTGATACAAATTGTTCATTGAAGAGATACAGACATAATGGAGGTCAATTATCAAGTTCTATTTTAGTTTTCATTTTCATTTGTCTTGAAATGAGTTAATTCAGGTTCATAAATTGGTGTCGGGTAATGGAGGGCAGCGCTCTTTACAAAAGGAGAAATAATGATGGAGGTTTAAATTATATGTTAATGACTGTATGTTATCACATACTATTTAAAGGGCAAGTCCACTCCAAAAATAACTATTTAAAGGGCAAGTCCACTCCAAAAATAACTTACTTCAATAGAAGCAGAAAAATCGAGAAACCAATCAAAAAAAAGTTTGAGCAAAATCGGAAAACAAATAACTAAGTGATTACAAGACAAATTGGCAACTCACTCATGAGTCTGTGACGTCATTGCCTCACTATCCACAAATTATTGTTTTCTTATATTGATAATATAAATTTCCAATCCCCCCCCCCAAAAAAAAAAAAAAAAAAATTCTTCACACCAGCATCCAAGTTATATTGATAGTAACATGTTTTTGTGTGGATGCACTAATAGTATAGAGAAATTGTTTTTCTTCATTTAAATCATGAATAATGTGAGTTTTGATAAACTACCGGTATTCATAAAAAATAAAAAATTCTTATGAACAGCATCACTTCTTCAAAGTTTATAAAAGATTTTATGAATAGTTATGCTTGCAATATATCGGTAATACAAATTATTTAACCCGGGCAAAGGCATGTGGAAATCAAGTTTTGGGGGATAAAAAAGGGAAATTAATGGGAAGAAATATATAAAGCAATTGATAAATAGTGAGGTAATAACATCACAAACTGATAACCAAATTGGCAATTTGTGTAGTGATTTTCATTGTTCCATAGTTTTTCACACTTAAAAAAAAATATCATAACTTCCTTATGAGTTATCCAATTTTACTCAGATTTTTGTTGCTCTGTTTCTCTTGTTTTTCTGCATCTATTAAAAGCAAATTCATTTTGGAGTGGACTGAGTGCACATGGTCAGACATTCAGTGTACGTCCTTCTCTCATACAAGGTGATTTACATATTTAGTTGCTTTGGCTTACTAGTGGTTAAAACAATATTTATGGGTAGGCCTTTAGACTATTCTTTTGCTTAAATTCTTCTTTCAAATTCTTCAAAGCAATAAATTACCCTATTTTAATCAAACGATCAAAGGAATATTAGCATCATAAGTAAGAAAGAAACCTTGATTTTGATCTTGAGGGGGGTTGTGTATGGAGATCTTTTGGGAAGTCTTCTGTCCTCATATAGTTTCTTTATCTTGAGATTTTGCCAAGGCTTTAGTGGAAGTAGCTGTGTGATTAATATCCTGCAGATGACAGCTTGGCCAGGACACTTGCAAATCTGTATTAAAAAATAACAGCCACTGCTCAATCCGAGACAAAAGGAAGTTGCAACAATGCACCGTGGGCGTGACTTGAGGGGTGGGAAATCAGAATTTGATCGCCTGTCAAGCTGATTGATGTCAGACTCTTATAAATTGTTAACATATCTCTTTTACCCATCATAACCAAGCACTTTATAGGTTTTGATAGAGGTAATTCTTGAAATGAAATTGATTTGATTTATCTTGGAGGGTAAATACAAGTATGCATGGTTTTGTTTCATTTGACTTTAACCCCCAAATACATGCACATAATATGCTTTTGACCTTCATGTACTCTGTATTTAGGAAGTAGAAAGTTAATGCATAGCAAACAGTTGAGCCTATTCCACATTTACTGTTTGATGCCATATCCTTCAAGATTGATAACACTACACAACACAGTGGATTCAGTTATAATGTCACTTTGATTTCATTGTGATTGGCAGTGTCTCTATGGCCATCCTGTGAATAATTCATTTTATAGAATGAGTTTTGATATACATGTTTAGGCTACCAAGGTCTTTTGCAGATCAAATGCATACATAACAAGAAATGGTCAAGTTCAGAGAGAATTTTAAAATCCATCCCTCGCATTCCAGATCAATCTGCTCAGTATTTGCCATTGCTGTTTTTAGAATTGTAGTTGTGATTCAGTTTGCTTGAAATCTGTTTCATCGCTGTGTCATCCAGTATGAACACAAGATACTAAAGATGACTTCTGATGTATATATTCTTGAGTGTATATAGTTGCCTATGCTTCTTGCATGTTTTAGTGTTAAGCACACCAAGGACATTCACATTTTTGATTGATTATTTATAAAATTGTAGCATACAATGTAAGTATACAGCAAAGTGTACTGATCTGAAAACAGTCTGACATGTTATGTTAAATTTAATAAAGGGTAACGAAATATGAGTTTCAGGACAGACTTCATGATTTAATTTGCAAATCTATTTTACAATGGCCTTTACCATTTCTGAATCCCTGGAGAGCTTTACACATGGCCCTAGTTTACAGTGAGAGTTGCGGTTTGAATTATTTTTGATGATTTTTTAAAATCCCATCCTTCTCCCTTCAACTCAAATTTCCTCTCAAAACACCAGATGTATGAATGTGAATCATTATACAATGATGCATCAACATGATTTAGTTAATTCCAATGGTGGGCTGCTGTTTGGTGAATCTCTCTCTCTTTCTCTCTATCTCTGTCTTTGTCTGTGTCTGCCTGCCTGTCTGTCTTTTTCTGTCTGTCTGTCTCTCTTTCTGTATGTTGCTCTGTCTGTCTGTCTCTCCTTCCCTTTCTTTCTTTCGCAGTCTCTCTCTCCTCAAGTCCCTTTCTTTCTTTCTTTCTCATTCTCTCTCTCCTTCCCACTCTTTCTCTGTCTCATCCTCTCAACCTTATTATGTCAATCTTAGTTGTTTCTTTAACTCTTTTGACAGCTTTTTTATATAGCTTATCCGGGTTACCTAACATTGCACTAAAAGATATATTTTTTTCAACCGTAAGAAATATGTAGAAAATTGCAGGGAAAATATATAAGTCATTGACATGGTTATTTCAGGAGAAGAAAATTAAATAAGTTACATTATAATACCCATGTCCTTAACTGACAAGAGGAAGGGTCACAAATACAGAAACAAATTGTTATTGATATATTTTAGTATGATATTCACCTACTTATGTTATTGCTTCATTTTCTTCTTAAAATTGCTACATATTGTAGTCTGTTCTTTCTCTCATTTTTCGTTTATGTGTTTTGTTTTATACATAGTATGTGAATATATAAATAACAAGTAATTTCCTCTGTCTGCTATTTTTCTGTTGCCTATTGTCTCACTTCTATGCTACATTGACATTACTCGATTTCACATACTGATTCTCACATATATCTTTCCACTTATTATCTTAGCTCTAATGGAATGACTTGTTTGTAAGTTGAAGAAATTATTTTATACTTTACTTTCATTTTTCATGTCATTTTAAGTGAGAGGAAAAAAGAAAGAAATTAGATTCTATTTAGAACATGAAAGATTTAATTTATCAATTACTTGTATCTTCCTGTTTTTCACAGAGTGGCTTCCTTCCCAACATCTTCAAGATAATGTCATATGACCCTACCTCGTTTAAGTACTTCTTTGGCTACTACGACCACCTTATATCGGACCGAGGCAATCTGACGAAGGAGGACAAATCATTTATCAGCCTGGCCGTCAGTACAGAAAACAAGTGTATCTACTGCACAGTTTCTCATAGAATGGTCTTTAGGCTCAACACCAATGATCCAGTACTAACTGATCAGGTTTGTCTCTCATTTTTTTTTCTTTTCTTTCCACTCTTTAACTGTGAAATTAGGTTTCAGTCATTAAAAAAAGAAGTAATATTTAATGATAGAGTTAGCTGGTTACATACATCTGAGATTAAATTCTGCAGTAAATGTCCATATTCTGAAATCCTTAGAACAATTGTGTTATCTTCATGAGACCAATGATATGGATCAGACTTGATTTAACACTTTTGTTATTTTCCGGTTCTACATTTCATGCCAGATATTTAAGTACAACCGTATTGTAACAACTTGTTATTTGATATTAGTACTAAAGAACCTCAAACCCCAACAAACCAAAATGATAGTAAATCTCATTATATATATATATATATATATATATATATATATATTATTGTGTAAATTTGTAGTCTATTGCATATTTTAAAAAGATTGCTACAAGATGGCAATCCACAGATTTGAACCAACATGATCTATTTTTAAATTTTCATTTTGATACTGCCAGATGACGGTGAATTGGGAAACAGCTGACGTGACTGACAGACAGAGAGCCATTCTAGAAATGGCCATGGCAGTCACCAAGAACGAACCAATCACAGATGAACATTTTACTAACCTGGAGCGGCACGGTCTTGACCAACGTGATGCCTTTGACATTGGCCATTATGCTGCTTTCTTTGCTCTGGCCAACAGGCTCGCTATCTTCACTAAACTAAGACCAAATGATGAGTTCTCAGGTGAATACAAATGTTCTCTTTCATGTAATTTCATTGAAATTTCTTAACCCCCAAAAAACAGTTCTGTTTACAACCCATCTTTAAGTAGAACGAACCTTGATTATGATAACAGTGTTGCGGGTAGTACAAAACCCTTTTATACTCATCCCTTCTCTCCTCTCATATGGGGATAGGCAGAGTTAAATCACTAAAAACACATTTCTTCAATTTTAGGGGACAAGTCCTCCAATTATGTTTTGTAAATGGTAATCAGATCTTCTTAATCTAAAGTTAGCATTTAATAGTTGTACTCTTATTGTTGCAACTGCAAATTCCTTTGAACATTTCATCATGCTATTATTTAGCTTGTCTCTCTTCTTTTCACCTATGCCCTGCTACATATATGTAGTTTGATACTCACTAGTGAGCTTAAAGACACAGGAGTGCTCTCTACAGTACAGGAGATATATCTATCTGTAATGAGGTACCAGAATAATCCTCACAGGAATCCAGGACCAAATTGCACCCGTCTTTTATCAATATTTTCCTTTCTCTATCATTTTTCTGAAATAGTTATACTAAATGCACATATATGCCTGTACATTTCAGCATTACAGACAATTTTTCTGTTTTGTTTGTGCCTCTATCCTACAGAATAGTAATGTGTAACCCAAGACTCAGCAGTGATCACTAAGGAACAGGAGATACATATCTGTAACGTGATACCAGACCAGGTACTCTTAGGAATCCAGGACCAAATTGCCTTCTGGGCTCCATGTCTTACAACGGGGCTGCAACAAGATATCCAAGCTACATGTACTGCCATATGATGTTGAATACGGTGTTAAAGAGGTTGATAGACTCCTGATTGCCTATATTAGCCATAATATACAATCTGTTGAAATGAGAATTTCTTGTAGGAGGGGGGATAAAATAACTAAGCTAGATGTAATGTGTTAGCTGCTGAATGCTCTGTTTTAACTCAGAATTACAAACTGCCTTCTGAAATGAATGATTTATTAAAAGAAAGGATATATACATAGTTTAACAATATAAATTGCCATTATTGATTGTACCTTACAAGAAGTATGAAATTTGGTAGTCAATAGAAAAGTACAACAGCTCTGTAAATCAAATAGTATTCTTTAAATACCCTCACGATAGATAAAGTCAGTTCATTCATACAAATGACCTTGGTTAGTTACATAATAATTATCTTCAGATATGACTGTAAAACCACAAGACCTCAGGTTCTATTTTATGGCTTCTTAAATTTCCTTGTACGTTTTAAACCAATTTTTGTCTTAATGAACATAAAATTTAGGTTGATAACGGTGGATAATGGTTGATAAAATTCAACAGATTGAAAGTAAACCGTTGCCATTATATTTCTTACTCTATTCTGAATTCCTGGTAAGTGATTATTTGGATGCAATGTTGTGTGAAAACTAAAATTTGGTACCATTTGACTTGAGCTTGACCCTTATGCAATCTCCACAACCCCCTTAACATTAGATTAAAATTGTATATAGGAATGCATAAAGGAATGTATTGTGGCAGAGGGAAGCCCTGTTGAATAATCATTCTAAACAGGCAGAAAAATTATACTGTAGGGGGAGGAGACATAAATTTGGAGTGTGTATGCATCTGTTTAGTTGTTATTGAATGGAGAAATGTTTAATATAAGGCACAGTATTGTACAAATATTGCATACCATACAGTTCTCTACAACTTAGTATATGAACCAACAGAATCTGAATTTGGGGGAGAATATATAACTTTTTGGTTAAAGGGATAGTTGAGTTCGGTTTTCAGACCGCAAATGCCTTCAAAGTACATGGTTATTGCTCTTATTCTTATCTATGACATTTCTAGTGCCCTTTTAGGACCTAAAATTGCTATGAAGGTAATTTTAGACCCCAAAATGTGTGAAATTTAGCCAATACGAACATACCAATTCAGCTCCACTTTGAAAAAATACAGTGACCGTTAATTAATTAATTAATTAAAAAATAACAATACATGGGCCGGCTGGTTGTGTGTAATATAACCAACACGAAAAAGAACTAATACCCAACTTGAGTCAATAATACAGATTTTGTTGTTGTTGTAAGAGAATGATATATTTATTAATTTGAATATCCATTGGAATAAAGCAGTGTAGAAATATATTAAAAACTCATTATACAGATAGCTATTTTTCACAAGTTTTGTAGATACAGTGTGATCTCGATCTTTCTATCTTTTAAACTTAGATATATACCATTTCCATTCAAAATGCGAAAGCGCCCATAATATTATAAAAAATTGATTCAAAAAAACTTTCTATGGTGGTTTTTGTTTAAAAAGGTTTGTAAAGGAAAAAAAGCAGTGACTTGTGGGAAAGGATGTAATGCTGCAGGGAGAGGAATTCACATGGAAGGCTGCTGCAAAACTTCAAGTTAACAAAAAAGAAGAACTGAAATAGATACTTTATCAAATGTGAAGTTGCTGCACCTAGGTGAAATATATGCAATTTCTTGTTCTCTTATTATACCATGTATTGTCATTGAGTAATATTGTGCTCTACTAGATTATTTTGAAAAGAAGCCAGAAAAACAACTGAATTAAAAGAGTAAATTTAATTCCTTCCTGTATATAGTACTATATAATTTTATATATCTAGTCATGTTTTATGTGATGACTGACAGAATGTAATATGTGGGTAAAATAGGGAGTATTATAATCAATGTACATAGTACTTTTGAATGAAAACATGTGTCTTTTACAAGTTTCATAATCAAGTTGTATTCATGTGTGGGTACCTACTCAGGTTAATATATTTTGAAATTATTTTCAGGATGACATTAATATATAACTCTTTTATTATATGTAGAATGCATTGGTTTTTGTGTGTATGCTGCTTGTAATTATTGATTATTTGCAAAAGATTATTTTGGTATCAGGGAAAGAATGGAATAATTGCTGTTGGATTGCAGATATTATTATTGCATATTTTATAACTGCAAAGTAGATTAAGGTTTGAAAATGTTCCGTTTCTCTTTTGTATGAATTCATTTTATTGTTTGTGTGACAAAGTATATTCATGAAATACTGCTGCTTGTAATTCTGGTATAATGAATTAAGGAGCACTATGTCAACCCACCTAAACAGAATAGCTAGATGCTTCTGTTTTCTTCAATATGCTAACTTGTAGTTGTAATTTTTGTCTGAGGTTATTAAAGAAGATGTAAAATAGTTGTTTTGCCATTTGTAAATTGCAATAATTTTACACAGTAAAAAATAATCCAGCATAAGCAATACAAAGACTGATTTACCTTCATGAAAACATACAAGTAATGAAAGAATCTTCAACAAACAGAGCATTTGACTTTTTGTAACTTTATTATTTCAAACCTGAATATATTTCTCATTTACAGAATGTGTGTTGTCAACAGCAAAATAACATTATTTGTGTAAAACTTCTACAGAGAATTTAAGGCAAAAATTAAATAGGCATTTGAAGAAACAATAATCAGTTGCTGGCACTCTACATAAAAACATCATTTACAACAATCCATATTTACATAAGTACAGGAAGAAATAGAATTTTTTTGCCTGAATGACCACTGCTAAATTGACCAGCAATTTAAATAGTACAATTCAAAATCATTTGGAGATGCTATTGTATGTATTCATTGGTAAGAAATGCTGCACATTATGTCATATCTGAAATATATATATGTAACGTTAGGCTGGATTAATACAATGTTATAACTCAAATTAGTGTCTCTATTGGTTCATAAACAGAGTTATTTTTCAAAACATGTACCACCGATTCTTTATTGTATTTACCATGCTATATTTTTACAAGACTCTTTGTCTGTTTATGTTTTCATATCATAGTTTGATGTGAACTGTGATTTTTTAGTATTGTATAACATGTATTACTCTTAAGCCTGAAAATAGAGTTTAGTACTGCTTTGTAATTTGAATTCTTACATTAACAGCCTAGAAGTTAATATGAAAGTTTGATTGTGTATTACATGATAATAATTGTATGGATTTGAATCGTAAACATGTGAACAATTTCACTCAACTGTAGCATTTAAAAGATTGGTCCAAAGTTTTAAACTATTTCTAGTTACATTTGGAATTCATATGACATTACAAACAATCCTTGGCATGTGTCAGTTCTAGTATGATATTCTTCTGCACAAAAATAAAAGATTAGAAAGTTTACAGAACTCAGCTTCCTCTTAAATCTTTTGTAATTTTTTTTTGACATTTATCACATGGACTATCCTCACAATTTTTCTGCCCCCCTCTGCCATTATTTTCAAATATTGTATATAAAACCCTCATGTAAAATTAGTTCCTAAAGCACAACATGTGACATACAGTACAGAATGCTTGTACCATGGGTGAATATTGTGGAATGGCAAAACCAATATACTCCTTTTAAAGAAATCTAGGAGAAGTAAATTGAAGTTGTAAAACATAATTTTGAATGTCTGCTTAAAAAAATGTACTACCATTTAGTGAAAGATATAGTCATGTTTACAATACAACTTATAGTTTCCTTCAAGAGATTAATGTAGCATTTTGAGTATGTAAAATAAAGCAAATTTAGGTACTCTTTTTATTGATGGAAAATCATGGAATGTTTCAATGAATACCTTTTATCATGCATCATTTTGTGTGTTTTTAGTGCTGTGTACATGAAGTCAGGTATGAATATTTGGGACAGCAGTAAGAAATGAAAACAAAACTTAACATAAATTACAATAATTCAGGAAAATAGAACATTTCTAAAATGATGTATGCAATGTATGCAATATTTGGATGTACAAATAAAGTGCTGAACTATAGCTGAAATTTCATTTAAAATGCATACAAATTATCAGTGGAAAACATATAAACTTTATTAGTCAGCAAAACAAATACAAAAATATCATTATTTTATATTTTGTTAATTCATCATGAGCTCAATAAATGAAAGAGGAATGCATTGACCAGTTCCACATCCAAAATTGCAGATATTCTATGCAAATTATGATTTAAGTTTTATTTTTTATTTTATCACTTTGACAGGTCAAGATACAGAACCGAGATATAATACTGACTTCTTTGCACTTATTTGCATATATATCTGCCCCTCAGACAACATGTATAGAGAGCCAACATTCAAATGAAGTTGAATATGCATATTACATGAAGTGTGCCCAGAAAACTCATAAAATTAGAATTGTTAAAAACAATCTTGACACCCTGTATGATGGTCTTAGTTTGTTCTTAGATTAGATGTGCACCAAATTAAATTACAATTTTGGGGTCTTTAATTTTGGAATAGTGTGTTGTTTTAATCAATATCTCTTAAAGACCGTCATTACTACTGGGCCTGAAGGGATTAGACCACACAGCGAGGTCACTGACAGGGGGCTATCTCATTAACTCAGCTCTCAACTAACATAAGAAAAAGAGGATCATGGGGGATCAACAGGCACTGATTGGGGAAGTTTTCTATATAGAGGGAGCAAGTAGCTACAAGTAGGACAGAGGGGCTTTAATTACCACATCCTAATAATTAAAGCTTATAAATATATAAAGGATATTTCAAAAAATAAAAAGTTACATATTGAATGAAATAAGATTGGCCTATCATTTGAAGACAGGAAATTATAGGGAAAAGATTATCAAATATGTTATAACATAGGCAGTAGCAGGAGTAGCATTATATTTGCATGAATTGTCTCAATCTCACAACCTTTTAAAACTTCCAATGCATCGTTTTCCATGAAAATAAGTGGATTATCAGTTAACCTTCTTTGACACAAACTAGCACTGAAAATGTCAAATATCAAGAAAAGTTTGTCTCTTACATAATTGTTACGAGTAAAACAATTTTTCAAAAATCATAGGTTGTGGCCAGCAGTACATATTGCCTATACAACACAATTTCATGTTGTAGGTGAAGCATATTAGATTGTCCCATGGAAATCTAGAGATTTTGTATGAAGTAATCTGACTCTTAGTCAACATGAATTTAGAGGTTGGAGGGGCCATGTACATAATTTTGTCTTTGTTTTAACTTGAAAGGCTGTGCTCTTTCCATATTAACAATTTTAGCAATCATCCACATTAAAAAAAGTTTAGTATGTGACAATCTGCACTGCAGTTGTCAAGTATTTAGTCAGAAGTACAGGGAGAGGAAGAGTGTTATTATTAGGGAATATAAAGGGTGCCTGTGAAGAATGGAATGAAAAGATAATGGAGACAGAGAGGGCTTTAAGAAGAAGAAGACAACATCATTAAGACATGTTGAGCGATTGAGAGATACAGAGGGAAGATAGAGAGAAGGAGAGAAGAGGAACACATTAAACAAAAATCATAAAACAATTCTGTGAATCTCTTGTACAAGTTCTCACAACTTCTGGACCTTGTTCAGCAAGTTCACAAAACATTGAACAAATACATTTCTTCTCCCAAAAGTCAGCAACCAGCCAACATACGACACATCTTTTGACCCCTGAAAGATGTTTGCATATGCTGTTAGGAGGTAAAGTTCTTTAAAATTATCACACAGCTTCGGGTCGAAGAATGATCCATCTTGGAGGCCGGCTGACTCTGTGGAAGGCTGACATTAAGACATAGCACTACTGCTTCCTGGTGATCAAGCAGATTGTTGAAGTGTCTGTAGATGTTCACCATAGTTGGACTGTCCATGACTACACACAGGAAGAGATCTGGACGCATCACCATAAGTATGACCGAATCGGTAACGGATTTCTGTCAAAGAAAAGAAAATCGTAAGTATTTAATGTATCACCCAGTAGAATGCAATTTTTTTCTTAAAATAATTGATTCCAATTTATTTTTGTGTTAGTTATTTGATATTTACATAATCATTACTATGTATCGATTTGCATAATGATGATAATGATGATGACAATGATGATAATGACAATGATACTACCACCACTGCTACTATTACTTTTTGTTATCACATACTTTATTAAGTTTATTTATTGAATATAATAACAGAAAGCATTTAAAATTAAATACATATAGTAATACAAGGCGTAAAAATGATAAATATCAACATGTACATTTAAAAAAGAACAGGATGAACATGTAATGGAAAAATACAGTGAACATGTCGTGGAATAGCTACATAAGTATGGGCACTTGGTACATTGGTTTGTTTATGCTGTTCTACAATATTGTACAAGTAGCATAAAGAGTGACTACAGGATGCAGTTGTTTGAGTTGGTGTGGGGAACCTAAGAAGCAATCATCCTAGAATCCTCTGTAGGAATACTTACGTGGAAGGTATCCTGTGTACTTGGGTACCATGCCAATATCTTTGTAGAGTCTCCTCTGCATCAAGGTACTCTTATCATCTTTTGTCAGCTGCAAACTGGCCTTACCAGCAAATTTAGGGACAGTAGTCCTAAAATGAAGAAAAAAAACATGATGTCAAGGATATGAAATAAATGTAGTTTGAGATGAGAATATTTGCACTGACAGCCTAGGGAAAAGCCCTTGTGACGCATTTTAGCCTAAATCCTCAATTTTCAATTTAATTTATTGAATAAAACTGAGAAAATTTAAGCTTTTCGTTTGGATACTTAAGATAATATAGCTAAAATTCCTCTAAGATTAATGATAAATTTTTGACACTAAACTAAATAATAAAAAAAAACTTCACTTAAAATCTATCTCAGTAAAAGGTACTGCAGTGAAGGCACATCAAAATTGTCTTTACACAGCAAACTGATGTTCTATGAGTGAAAGTCAATCTATTCATATGAGAAACAAATTCTACAGCGAGCTACTTTTAGAAAATTTCTACCAGGTTGTTGCCATAGCAACTACAATGTTCTGGCATAGAAAGTATTACAATTTTAAGCATGAAATGGATACATGTATTTTTAATGTTTTTCTCATTAGAAATTTATGTTAACTACTGAAATTATACAAGTTACCATTGCAACAGCCATATTCTAGCATAACCATGACCTTGGATGACTGAGATTTTGATGGAAATGAAAAGGGTAGCTCAAATAGACAGATTTAGTCATTTACATGATATTTCTTTGCTGTACAACTAAAATTTCCATTTTTTTTCTTCTTCTAAAAAATGTATGACTTGGGAGGAAAGAGGACCTATGATAATATGCTTCCATAATATATTTTGACTACTGCCCCCAAGGGAGAAGGCACGTAGAAGAAAAGTTAAGATGTTTTTGTACACAACAAACAGGAGAGATATCTGTTATACTTCACAATCTACTTTAATACCAAACTGTCAATTTGAGATTCGCATAGACAAATTGATCTCATATTCCAAACATTCATAACTTTCTTATTATCTAGCTGTTTGATTTATTCAAACTTTCGTCATTCTGTTTTTATCGTATTTTTCTGCTTTCATACAGAAAAACTAATTCCAGGGGTTGGGTTGCCCTTTAAGTACACTATGAAAATGTGACAAGGTGTCATGTAATAATATTAGAAAGTTTGAAAATTTTACAATTACAGTGCATCCTGATGATTGACATGAACAGAACAAGATACAGTTATTACAAGCAAAGAAAGAGTCAAACTGAAGTGTACTTACTTTGGAACATACCCCGGCTTGGAGATGATTGCATGCTTGTCTGTCTCATCATAGAATACATTGAGTGATTTGTCACACATCTCATTATACCTTGCTCCTAGACCTAGCTCAGTCACACCTTGTCTTGGTATAAAGCCTTTGTAACCTGGAATGGGAGCTTCCCTCGATTCTCTCTTGTCGTCTATTGATATAATTAAACACAGAAATAACACAAAATGTGACGAAATGAGAATATGATTCATGGAAATATCAACCTGGGTGAAAGCATGAATAACAATTTGGCACCCATCTTCAAGAAATTTCTGTTGGTAAAATCAGTGATGTACAGTAGATTACAAGAATGATTACATCCATGATGATACGGGTAACTATTTTAAACTGTTGAAAATATTTTGAAGCATTATATGCATTCATGCATGTTCTTGGATTCTAAGTGAGTGTTTTGTTTCTATTTCTTGACTAATTTGGCACATTATATTATTGTTAATATTATTATACTGTATTATCATATTAACACAGTGGGGTAATATTTCTATTTCCATAATATGATAGTAAGTGAAATAGCATAAAAGTAATTTGGAGTACATACATGTAGCCAGATTTTATGAAGCATTGGCTTTGAACTCACAAGAGTTCTTTGTTATAAAATGGTATGGAGCAAAATGAAACAAGACAATATAAAATTCTTACCTAATAAAACCTTTCCAGGGTTTTGATCTCGGTAGAAGTTTAGAGCCTTAATGACCACCTTCTCATCCCTCTTGGGTTGGAGAGGTCTTGACTGGACCACTGTCTGTTTCAGGGTCTTGATCTTGGTGTCGTGTTCTTTGGTAGTGTGGAGGAAATCATCAATACAGACATCACAGTCCTCCTTGTAGGTATTTCCAAACTTGAAAGGCATCCTGGGGATGTAGCCTGTCAAAGCGTGGAGAGAGGTAATAAATATGTAAATATATCTTTTTCCTCATACCCTTTTCTTTCACAATATTTTCTCCATTCCTATTCCATTTTTGTCTCGCCTGCGTAGCAAAAAGCGAGACATAGGTGCCGCTTTTCCAGTGACGGCGACGGCAGCGTCAACATCAAAAACTTAACCTAAGGTTTAGTTTTTAAATTTTTAATATAATTTTGAAATTATAAGTTCTCATTCAATGAAACTTGGACTAAAGGGTCATCAAGTATTCCCAATTGTGTGAGCAGAATTTCAGGTCACAAAATCAAGGTCAAAAGACTTAGACTATGTTGCGGCATCATCATCGAAAACTTAACCTCAGGTTAAGTTTTTGAATTTTTAATATAATTTTGAAAGTACATGTATAAGTTCTTATTCAATGAAAAAAAATTGACTAAAGGGTTATCAAGTATTCCCAATCATGTGAGTAGAATTTCAGGTCACTAAATTAAGGTCAAAGGTCATTTCAGGTCAACATACTTAGACTCTTTTGTGGCATCAACATCAAGATTTTGAAATTTAAGCATAATTTCAAAAGTGTTTGTTCAAATTCCATGAAACTTGTACACAAGGGTTATCAAGTATCACAAATCTTATGACGCAAATTCCAGGTCACAAAGTCAAGGTCAAAGGTCATTTTAGGTCAGTATGTGAGGATTTAAAAAAAAAAAAAAATGTTGTTATTTTTTTATGTTCCGTTAAAGTTATTAATCTTGGTACAAATTATAGTAAATAATTCTTCCAATGACCTTGGTCAATATTCACTTCAAAATGCTGATTATATTTAGAGGATTTCATTGGGGGGGGGGGCCTGCTAATGGGCCACCCTGCCTATGAATAACGTCCCAACCTCAATTTTTCATCATATTGAATTGCGTAATGCAGGCGAGACCGCCGAGAGCATTTCCCTTGTTCTTTCTCTTTGTCTCTTTAGCATTTTCGCTTATCTCTTATTTTTTCATTCTTCCCCTCTTTTCCATTGTAAATAATAATAATAATATTAATAATAATGATAATAACAATATTAATGATAATAATATTAATAATAATAATAATTTCGGTAGTAATAATAATAAAAATGATGATAATAATAATACAAATAATAATAACAATAATGTTAATAATAATAATGATAATACTACTACTACTAATAATAATAATACTAATACTACTACTACTACTGATAACAACAATAAATGTAATACTATCAACAATATTTATAAGAACAACAACACGATCATTATTAATAAAGACAATAATAATAATAACAATATTTTCTAGGAGGCCGGCAGAACGTGATCTCTTTTGGCTGAACATAAAAGGAGTAAAATCTAACATTTCTCTGAGGTTATCGCATCACAAATGGGCATGTCTTAGTAAAATAAATCCTTGCGATAAGGCCAAATAACAAAACTAACTGGACTTTAAAAAAAAAGGAGGAGGCAGGGCATTACTATTTACTATTTTGCAATTTGTTATAGCTAGCCAAGCCTACCAGTATTTATTCACAGATATTGTGCTATGTGAGTATACTGATGCAATGTTTGACAAAAACAAACGATTTGTATCACTTAAGGCTTTTTTTTTTGGGGGGGGGGGGCTGTTTTTCTTCTGAATAGTAAATAGTAAAAAAAGGTGGCGGGCGGGGATGAGAAAAACTTAATTTTTGTTATTTGGCCTAATGATTCTCAGAATACTGATATAAGAAAGATTTTAAGGGTACTTTATATCACTAAGATAATTTGAATCTCAGAATACCACTCCAGGGGGGGTGTTTCACAAAGATTCTAAGTCGAACTTAACTCTAAGTTGGATTTAAATATTATGGATAGCCATTTGTAGCCTTATAATGAAATATATTCAAAAGCAAAATTTCAAGTATTTTAGACTTTTCATAAATTCCACATCAAGAACATGACATGTTCCATGATAATAGAAAATATGAATGATTTGAATCACCATTTTATGCCTTTTAAAATAACTTTTACAAAATATTTTCATAGATGCAAATGGCTTTCCATAAATGTTAAGTCCAACTTAGTGTTAAGTTCTACTTAGGAACTTTGTGAAACACCCCCCCTGGTCTTTATATAAAGATGGTTGTTATACCTGTGTAGCCTGGCACCATCTTCTCTGTGAGTTTGTTGTCTCCGTTAGATCTTGGTAACTGTATAGGCCTTCTCTCCCCACTTAGCGTGGTGGCAGCAGTCAGCCCAGTCCCAACATGTTTGCTGGAGGCATCAAAGTAGTTGTTTGGCCATGATGATATAATGGGATGACGGTTTGCACGTCTCTGGACACAAACAACAAAAGAAAATTTGATCATTTAGGGAATAGAATATCAACTGGAGTTTTGTCATTTTTTTTACCATTTCAATTTTTCAGAAACTTTTTTGTCTAAGTCATGACCTACTATGTGGTAACTTTTTTCCTTGTCAATTTGTCTTCTTCTTCAGAATCATCCCCATCCCCCCCTCCCCAACTTTTCGCTTTCACAAAACATGATCTGCCTGCTATGGATGGCATAAATATGGGCACCTACATTGTAATCATCTATAGTTCAAATAATGATGGATATATCTGTTTCCAGAGTGATATTAAACATCAAATACCAAATAGAAATTAACTAAACATGAAGAAAAGAATGAAACATGAATTCAAATAATTTTATATTTCTCTCACATTCTCCAGTCTGTTGGTTGCATTTCCATATGTATCTCCAACATGGTACTTGTACTGCTCGATGTATCCGCAGTAGCTGTAAAGGCAACAAGATTAAAGAAATTAATATAATATATATATTCCATTAAGTTGTATTGTAGTTGTTGAAATTGCAGAGATAGTGCTCAATTGGGAGGGGCTACCCCACTTTTTCAAGTACCCCTAAAATCTCCCTTTCTACTTTGAAAAATTGCCCCCGTGTACTCCTAATAAATGACTCTTTTTTTCTTCTTAATAAGCAATCATATCCCCCATCTTATAAGTGCCCCTTTTCACTTCTGATACGTGACCATATTTAAATCTTATGAGAGACCTTTTTTACTTTGAAGAGTGCCCATGTTACCCATTCCTTTCTAATAAGTGCTTCTTGCCCTTCTTTTAAAGGTAAATGAAATCCAATAATCTTTAGCTGATAGCCTTAATAGAGCTTATGAGCCAGTTAAAAAATCTTAAAGTTAGTCTCATTTGATTATTTAGCAAGTAAAGCAATTTTGCAGCTTCCTTGCTCACTATTCTCCCAGTGGAGCTGCCATTATACATTATGTCAGAGTAGTACAGCTTGTGTGTTACCCAGGCGCGTAGCCAGAGTTCGACGTTTGGGGGCACATACATGTAATCGATCGAGGTAAAAAAAAAGGGGTCTAAAAAAGTTAAACCGATCTTGGAAATTTTAGGGGGGAACGTGCGCCCCCCCCCCCCCCCCCCCCCCCCCCCCCCCCCCCCCCCCCCCCGTGGCTACGCGCCTGCGCCTGGTGATACCCACTGACCTGTATTTCATTAAAATGCAGAATTTGATGTGAAATGCATGTTTAACATGCTACTTTGTCACAATGCCACTGTAGCGTCATAAGCATGTTATATTGAAATTGAATCATGTATTCACAAACAAGTTCTCCTTTCCCTCTGAGATTATGTAACAGAGTTCCCCTGTTTGTTCATGGAACAGCCCAGGGTCCAGTGGGGTGTTTGTTTAGGGCTAATTTGCATAAACTTGGCTTGTAGAGCATCTCATGGGATGCATGCAACATCCTACAGTGCAGACCGAATTACACAGGAAAGGAGTTAGCAACTCAATTTAGAATTGTGTGAAGTTTGGAGGATCTTTCATTGTATTCATCTATTAGAACCGGGATATTTAACAGTTGGTAAGTCAATATATTGCTTGTTCATATATTCTTGTATACTGAATCTAGGTTACATACATTGTGAGAAACAGGAGACAAACCTGTAAGAAGAAAGTAATTTGTGTGCCAATCCTTTGTTCTTGGTTCATTATGTTGTATATAATACAATGCTAGTATACTGTAGCATGTATTCGTTAGCTGATATATTACCAGAATATATGTTGCTCTATAAGTCATTCTTACTCAAGTTATAATGAGTTTGTACATATGATTGAAACAGTAATAATTGTAGTTTCATACCCAGTAGTTGATTGCTATATTAATAGGAGGAAAGTTGTATATAGAAGAGTTAAAGTTAGTTTGGAGTTTGGAAAGTTTCTGTTCACCAAGGCATATAGCCTCTAGTGTACGCACACACACACAGCTGTGTGCAGAGCATGTATGATTGATATACATGTAGTTTAGTAGGGTGTGTGTGAGGGGTAAATGCAAGACCCAGAGAGTGCAGCCAAATTAGGGCACTGTGCACTCAAGCGCACTGCACTGATTAGTGCTTTGTTTCTTTGTCTTACAGTTAGGCAAAACTTTAGACTGTATATATGTATTGCATGTTTAATTGGCAGTGATAGCTTGAGCTAAGGGATATTAAGAGGGATTTAATGATCATTGGAACTTGTTGCATTTCTACAAAGATGCATGTACATTACTTGAATATGAGAAGTTTATATCAGGAGTTATGTAATAGCATAACTATTATTAACAGCATGATTATTGCATTATATTCACTGTATGATGATGTATCTATTGTTGACTTATTATACTGTTTATTTGTGTCTTAACAGTAAACCACACTATCAGTACGATCGACGACACTATTGCCACGACACCATCCACTATCGCGATATACTATAGACATCACTATCGCCATATACTATCGACATCACTACCACTACACGTTTCTACATTTGTTCTGGATTTATTGAGACTGTCGTCGATGTTTAGACTTGAATAAAGGCACGAGCTAGTTTATACTGCAGAGACTGCGTCTTGTGTGAATGATTCAGTTTAGTGCGTTTACTACGTTAATCATTACCCTGTAGAAGGTTTCTCGGAAACGAAGCTACATCAGTTTACAACTTTTTATCATCGTGAATGAGTTCGCGACAATAATGGATGACGCATTGAAGGACAAGCCATCGGAGAAAGCGCGTGAATCTCCTTCTTATAGTCAATCAGAGGGACATATACGTGAAGCTTCGATGGAGATAAGCCGCCAGAAGGAGGAGCGTGATGAAGTCACGGCTCTGAAACGGTCTTGCCAGGGTTATGTTGGAAATCTGGCAAAGCAATACAAGGAACTTGAAGTTATGATGTCAAGTTACGACAATCTTAACGCAGCCAGGCGGAAGTATGGACAGCTAAAGGGTACATTTTTGCTGTATCAACATAAATTCAGCGAATGCTACAAAAGGTTGTCTAAGGACGATAAGGCTGCATCGAAGGAACAATTTGAGTCGCATGAGAGCAACAAGGCTGAGTTCGACGAGCGAATGATGGAGTGGGATGCTGAGGCTACGAAGAGGCAGTCCCCGACGACTGAACTAGACGAGGCGGGGGCAGATAAGGTTTCCGTAAGGTCATCGGCGTCGAGGAGAAGTAGGTCTTCGAAGCACAGCAGCACAAGTTCATCATCCTCTGCAAGACTGAGGGACGCCAAGGTCAGAGCTGAGCTAGCGAGACTCAAAAAAGAACAGTTAGTAAGAGCTCAAGAGCTCAAACGAGTACAGTTAAAACTGGATGAACAATTATCTACAATGCAGATAGACAATGAGATAACGAACGCTGAAGCAGAAGCTAGATTGCTTGAAGAAGAAATCTTTGATGAGGGTAATAGTGTAAAGGATCCTCTGGTAAAGAATGAAGTGTTAGATGTACATGTAAGTGAACATAACAATCCTGTACACAAATTTGGATTGAATCCTAATGCACCAGTGTGGGAAGAATGTAAGTTAAATGCCACTAATGATGTTTCATGTAAAAGTAATGTTCAGGATTTGAATATGTCTCAAATGTTTCATGCCATTAACCTTGCTGTTCATTTACCCAAACCCGATCTCTCCACATTTGGTGGTAATCCCATAGAATACAGGAGCTTCATCAACAGCTTTGAGGTCAACATCGCAGACAAGGTCACCGATGACAGGGCAAGGTTAACCTACCTGGTCCAGTACTGCTCCGGCAAAGCTCGAAGTAGCATCGAGAACTGTGTAATGATGGCTCCAAGTGAAGGATACGCAGAGGCTAGACGAATACTGAGGGAGCAGTTCGGACAGCCTTACGTCGTCGCCACCGCACACATGAAGAAGGTGCTAAACCGGGCTCCCCTGCGACCAAACGATGGTGCTGCTATGTGGGACCTATGCAGAGACATGCAGAGATGTCAAATGGTGCTGGGACAGATGGGGTATACTGCGGACATGAACAGTTCCAACAATCTACTCCATATCCAACAGCTGTTGCCCGTACATCTTCAATCCCAGTGGGCGAGCAAGGCACACCAGATGATGGAGGGCAGCACAGTTCCTTCCTTTGAACACATGGCCAAGTTCATTGAGAATTCAGCCAAGCTTGCTAACAACATGTTTGGGCAGAACATTGGGAGATCTTCCAGCGTGAAGGTAGATAAATCTGGTGGAAGGCCGAAACCCGATACGAGGAGAACGACTCTCACTACTCAAAGTAAAGGAGAGTACAAGACGCTTCGCCAAGACCGTCAACCGGCTAAGGGTTGCCCATGTTGCACAAGGCAACATGACCTGAAAGAGTGCGGGATCTTTAAGGAGAAGTCCTTTGAGGAAAGAAGGAAGACCGTCAGGAAAGTTGGGTTGTGTGACAACTGCTTCCTGCCCCACCACATGGCCATGGGATGCATGGACAGATCCAATTGTGAGGAGAAGGGATGTACCAGGAAGCATCACACCCTGTTACATCCTCCTAGGTGGGAAAAGGCGACCCAGCCACAATATCGCTCAAAGGAAGACAATCCTAGGGGCCCTAGAGACTCCAGTGGGGCCGGTAACAGCGTCAACACCAATCATGCTATTGCTGAAGACAACGAGAACGTTCAAGGCCAGTGCAACAGCACATTCTCAACACGTCGCAAAGTGTGCCTTAGAGTGGTGCCAGTGAAGGTAGCAGGGAATGACAAAGAGCTAGAAACTTGGGCACTGCTAGACGAGGGCAGCGACGTATCCCTTTGTGATGAGCGGCTTGTTGAGGAGCTAGGGGTCCAAGGAGCCCACAAGGAATTCCAACTCACCACCATTAACAAGGCTGGTTTGAGAAGGAAGGGTCTTGAAGTTAGCCTGACGGTGAAGAACGTCTCTGATGGAGAGAGCATCGATCTACCAAAGGTATGGACAGTTGACAAACTGCCTATATCCAAATCATGCATTCCAACCGACGAGGACTTAAACAGATGGCCACATCTGAGGGGAGTTCATCTACCTAGAATTGATGAAGGAGAGGTACGTCTCCTTATCGGAAGTGATACTCCAGAGGCCTTCTGGGTGATAGATCAGCGACGGGGAAAGAGGAAGGAACCGTATGCGGTACGTTCCTTACTCGGATGGACAGTCATGGGACCAACCATGACCTCTGCACCCGATGCTCCATACAGCGTGAATTTCACCAAGCATGAAGAAAGGTTAGAACAGCAGCTGCAGAGGTTCTGGGAGGTCGACCATGCCTTCAGAGATGAACGGCTCGCTGATTCGGTAGAAGACAAGAGGGCCCGCAAGACAATGGATGAGACAGTAGGAATGGTAGATGGACACTACCAAGTAGGACTGCCATGGAGGAAATACCCCCCATCTCTTCCAAATAACAAGAAAATGGCAGAGTCAAGACTCCAGTCACTAAAGAAGAGGCTTGGGAACGACAAGATACTACATACCCAGTACATGACAACAATGGAAGGATATATTACCAAGGGATTCGCACAAGAAGTTAATGGACAAGGCGATGAAGTTGTCTGGTATCTTCCCCACCATCCCGTTAGACACCCAATGAAGCCAAATAAGGTCAGGATCGTGTTTGACTGTGCGGCGAAGTTCTGCAATGGGTCACTCAATGACCAACTCCTGAGTGGACCAGACTTCACGAACAGTCTGGTTGGAGTCCTCCTACGATTCAGGCAAGAGAGGATAGCCCTTGTAGCAGATATCGAAGGGATGTTCCATCAAGTCCGGGTAACACCAAGGGATGCTGGAGCCTTGAGATTCCTATGGTGGGACAACGGAGACCTGGATAAGACTCCCAAGGAATACCAGATGTTAGTTCATCTTTTCGGAGCCACATCATCTCCAAGTTGTGCTGGATTCGCACTACGCAAGACGGTAGAAGACAACCAGCAGGACTTTGATCCTGAAGTTTCCCAGACAGTCCTGGAGAATTTCTACGTCGACGACTGTTTGAAGTCCATCTCCTCAAGAGAGGAAGGAAAGAGACTGGTGTCCCAGCTGTGCGAGATCCTGAAGAGAGGTGGATTCAGGCTTACAAAGTGGGTCAGCAACGACAGAGAGGTTCTCTCTGCAGTGCCTTCAACAGAACGGGCAGCGTCAGTTGTAGACTTGGATTTTGACCACCTACCAATCGAGAGAACTCTTGGAGTTCTGTGGGACATGAACTCAGACTCATTTGGGTTCAAGGTATCACCTAAGGATGTACCAACTACCAGAAGAGGCCTCCTGTCCGCAACAAGCTCATTATACGACCCATTGGGATTTGTGGCTCCCTTCAGCTTAAACGCAAAGATTCTGTTGCAGGATCTCTGTGCCCAAGGACTAGGCTGGGATGAGACAGTGGGGAAAGATGAGCTACAGCGGTGGACGTCCTGGCTATCAGAACTACCAGAGTTGTCATCAGTAAAGATAGACAGGTGCTTCAAACCAACAGGGTTTGTTGATCCCAGCTACGACCTCCATATCTTCTGTGATGCTTCAGAGAGAGCATATGCTGCATGCGCATACCTGAGGGTCACAGACACAGACGATCGCATACATTGCGCATTCGTGATGGGCAAGACAAGACTATGTCCTCTCAAGAAGATGTCTGTTCCAAGACTGGAATTATCAGCGGCTGCGCTGGGAGTTAAGCTTGGTCAGACGATCAAGGAGGAACTCAGGTTGCCCTTAAGGAACACCACGTACTGGACAGATTCGACATCAGTTCTACAGTACATCTCCAACGAGAGTAGGCGATTTCAGACGTTTGTAGCTAACCGGGTAGCCAAGATCCAATCCATGAGTGAGAGGTCTCAGTGGAGACATGTGAGTACTCACGCTAACCCTGCAGATGACGGATCGAGGGGCATGCCTGCAGGAAAACTAGCAAGGTGGCTCCAAGGACCAAGCTTCCTGGTTAAGGAAGAACGCGAGTGGCCAGTCTCCCCTCCAAGTCTAGTGAAGACCGATACAACAACACTGGATCTTCTCGTTCCTGAAGTCAAGAAGAAGCAAGTGTTTGCAACAATGTCCGAGGACATCTTGGAAAGACTCATGGCCAAGTATTCAACATGGCAACGACTGAAGAGAGGTGTCGCATGGATACTTCGATACAAGACTTACCTCAAGCTTCGAGTCAGCAGAGGTATAGCCTCATTGAAGAAAGGAGACCTGACGCTCGAGGAGTTGAATGCAGCCGAGCGAGAAGTCATTAAGCACGTCCAGAGGCAAGCTTTCCCAATTGCAACGAATGACAAGGGAAATAACGGCAGACTTCAACAAGCAAGCACCCTCTCTAAGTTAACCCCAGTAATGAAGGATGGGTTGTTGAGAGTAGGAGGGAGACTGACCAAGGCCCCTATCAGTGACGAGATGAAGCACCCTCTCATCTTGCCACACGATCACCACGTGACCAAGTTGTTGGTAATGTACTACCACCAAGAGGTCGGCCATTCAGGAGCAGGCATGACGTGGACTGCACTGAGGGACAGGTATTGGATCCTCAAGGGCGGGGCCACTGTCAGACGAGTCATAGGTAACTGCTTCCAATGCAAGAAGAGGAATTCAGCAAGAGGCCGGCAGTTTATGGCGGACTTGCCAGTAGAGCGAGTGACGCCAGACCACCCACCGTTCACCAACCCTGGTGTAGACTTCTTTGGACCATTCTATGTCAAACAGGGCAGGAGTGAGGTGAAAAGATATGGGTGTGTATTTACATGTTTAGCTACCAGAGCAGTACACATCGAAGTTGCCAACTCACTGGAAACAGACTCCTTCATAAATGCGCTAAGAAGGTTCATCAACAGGAGGGGCAGTCCAGAAAAGATCTTGAGCGACAATGGAACAAACTTCAAAGGAGCCTACAGAGAACTCAAGGAAGGCTTAGACAAACTGAACTCAAAGAAGGTTGACCTCTTTCTTATGCAGAAGGGGATAGCATGGGAGTTCAACCCACCAGGCGCTAGTCACATGGGAGGAGCCTGGGAGAGAATGATAAGATCTATCAGAAGAATCCTCGGAAGTCTCCTCAAACAGCAGCTGGTCAACGATGAAACACTCACGACATTGATGACAGAGGTAGAAGCAATATTAAATGCAAGACCTTTGACACAACTGAGCCTTGATCCTCGAGACGAGGAACCTTTGACGCCGAACCACTTACTCTTGCTGAGGAAGAATCCCTCTCTGCCACCTGGAACCTTTACGAAGGAAGACAGCTATTTACAGAGAAGATGGCGTCAAGTCCAATTCTTGGCTAACCAATTCTGGAAGAGGTGGATAAAAGAATATCTCCCCCTCTTGCAACAGAGACAAAAATGGACTAGAGTTGAGAGGAATTTCCAGACAGACGACCTGGTCCTTGTAGCCGATGATAGCTCGCCTCGCGGTAAATGGCCACTAGGAAAGGTCACAGCGACATATCCTGACAGACACGGACGTGTCAGACAGGTAGAAGTGAGAGTCGGGTCAAAATACTACAAAAGACCAATATCTAAACTCTGTCTCCTAGAAGCAGGAAAGGACACTGCTCAATAGTTTGTCCAATCCAATATTTGAAGTACAATATATATGCCTGATATTGAGAGTTATCTAGACATCAAGTGTTTATTAGAAGTATATAAATCCTTATGATTTGTAGGATTTTAGAGAACGTTTCATATTGCTGATTTGTTGATTGATTGAACGATACAAATTGTACTTCTTTATGTTATTCATGAAAGTCATTCATATTTGAATTTACGTGCTAAGGTAATTTAGCATGCATTCCATCCATAATGTTGATGATTTATTTGGTTATGTTTAATTACGTGCATTGAAGTTTACCATACTTATAGACTGATTTATGCCGCTATCATTCATGTGTAATGTATAGAGAAATGAGTAACTGGTAGTTAGCTCATTTTGGGGCCGGTGATGTAGCGTCATAAGCATGTTATATTGAAATTGAATCATGTATTCACAAACAAGTTCTCCTTTCCCTCTGAGATTATGTAACAGAGTTCCCCTGTTTGTTCATGGAACAGCCCAGGGTCCAGTGGGGTGTTTGTTTAGGGCTAATTTGCATAAACTTGGCTTGTAGAGCATCTCATGGGATGCATGCAACATCCTACAGTGCAGACCGAATTACACAGGAAAGGAGTTAGCAACTCAATTTAGAATTGTGTGAAGTTTGGAGGATCTTTCATTGTATTCATCTATTAGAACCGGGATATTTAACAGTTGGTAAGTCAATATATTGCTTGTTCATATATTCTTGTATACTGAATCTAGGTTACATACATTGTGAGAAACAGGAGACAAACCTGTAAGAAGAAAGTAATTTGTGTGCCAATCCTTTGTTCTTGGTTCATTATGTTGTATATAATACAATGCTAGTATACTGTAGCATGTATTCGTTAGCTGATATATTACCAGAATATATGTTGCTCTATAAGTCATTCTTACTCAAGTTATAATGAGTTTGTACATATGATTGAAACAGTAATAATTGTAGTTTCATACCCAGTAGTTGATTGCTATATTAATAGGAGGAAAGTTGTATATAGAAGAGTTAAAGTTAGTTTGGAGTTTGGAAAGTTTCTGTTCACCAAGGCATATAGCCTCTAGTGTACGCACACACACACAGCTGTGTGCAGAGCATGTATGATTGATATACATGTAGTTTAGTAGGGTGTGTGTGAGGGGTAAATGCAAGACCCAGAGAGTGCAGCCAAATTAGGGCACTGTGCACTCAAGCGCACTGCACTGATTAGTGCTTTGTTTCTTTGTCTTACAGTTAGGCAAAACTTTAGACTGTATATATGTATTGCATGTTTAATTGGCAGTGATAGCTTGAGCTAAGGGATATTAAGAGGGATTTAATGATCATTGGAACTTGTTGCATTTCTACAAAGATGCATGTACATTACTTGAATATGAGAAGTTTATATCAGGAGTTATGTAATAGCATAACTATTATTAACAGCATGATTATTGCATTATATTCACTGTATGATGATGTATCTATTGTTGACTTATTATACTGTTTATTTGTGTCTTAACAGTAAACCACACTATCAGTACGATCGACGACACTATTGCCACGACACCATCCACTATCGCGATATACTATAGACATCACTATCGCCATATACTATCGACATCACTACCACTACACGTTTCTACATTTGTTCTGGATTTATTGAGACTGTCGTCGATGTTTAGACTTGAATAAAGGCACGAGCTAGTTTATACTGCAGAGACTGCGTCTTGTGTGAATGATTCAGTTTAGTGCGTTTACTACGTTAATCATTACCCTGTAGAAGGTTTCTCGGAAACGAAGCTACAGCCACCTCACTAATCTTACAGTTTTTGCATTGCTCACAAATAGATCTTCAGACCATCATCAATGTATGATGTTAAAGAAGTACATGTATCTTGAGTGTAAAAACTCCAAAATTGTGAAAAAAGGGCCTTCCTTAAAAAAAAAATGACCCTTAAAAATGGGAAGGGTTTCAAGGCTTGAGCAGCACACCCCCATCCAAACTAAATCTGAGTACCCCCCTCCCCCGGGGTGAGGTTGCCCCTTGTAGCTAGGTGCTCTTGTTTTCCAGAAGTATCATTTTTGTTATTGGTGCCCGGCCTCCCCCCACTTTGAAAGTTGCTTTACAGCCCCTGCTAAAATGTGATGAATGAATGTAAACATAAACATGAACATGTTTTTGAAGGAAAAAGAGTAAATACATACAGATCAATATCCATGTCTTACATTTTTACTACAATAATTTATTGGGGTCACAACTGCAATTCTGGAGTTCCAACACATAATACTTTTATACTTGGGCAAACCGTTTTGTTTTGCTGTTGATAAATGCAGCATGAAATTTTCAGACAAACATTATCATGATTATAACACAATCTATTCACAATCACAGTGAAATATCCCATAACGAATAGTTATATATATGTATAACGTCACTAAAACATAAATACACTTTAGAACATGTTGTTACTCATAATCAGTATATAATTAATATTGTTATTGCATCATGTCAGTTAGCACAATGGAACATACAATGTATGACATACTCATTAATATCTCCAAATGAGAATATACATGTTCATGTACTAAGCTTATCTGTACCGCATATAGCTACTTGACAAGACACTAGTATAATTTTCTTACCCGGGTACTTGTGTGCCTTCTTTGAGTTCTGCAAAGTCTCTCCTACGATTTATATTCCACGTCGTGGAGTTTGACATAGTTGTGTTCATCATATTGACAAGATTTCCAGTAGGTACACCTTCAAGAAAACAAAATATCTATAATTTAAGCGATTTTAATATAGTAATAATAGAGCGAAATCGGCGTCCGCTACCAAAACATTCTATCTCTGACTATGTATACGCGTGGCGTGTGTACGGGACAGGCGTTGCTATCCACAGGCTTGTTGCTAGCTGATTATGCCGTTGTCAAGCCCCCTTTGACCAGCCAGGGGTCCTCTGTGTTCACTTTACATCTATTCAATCAGCGGGGTGTACGCTGTACGCTGCGCAAGAGCGAATCTTCTCAGACTGACTTTACCGGGATCGCTCCATGCTCATATGGTATACAAGTCGTCGCTTTCAAACACCGAACAAACCATTACCAGTGCATTCATTGTACATCAATTCATTCAGGTGAGGCATTGTACACATACCGACTGGGCCGTCTCATCTGTTGAAGGTAGTGGAACAGGTAATTCGCGATATTAATTCTACAGGATCTGACCAAAGAGATATTACAACCACTGAGTTAACTACGCTGATACAAGAGGTGAGAATTATTAAAAGAATACCATACGTGTGAAGGCCGACATGACGAGTGAGAAATAACGTGTATTATTATTATGCCAAAATTACTTTCAGTAGTTTCAAATATACACGGTAGACACTGCACAGTACTTTCAGTTTCAGATTGATTTTAGTAAAGCTAAAGCATAAACCTAATCAGGTCTGTCTTCAACATTAATATTTTACATTTGTATCTGTGTATATTAATATGATTTTTAGGTAAGCCTACCAATAATTCTTTTTTTACATTTATGAACCGAGTATAATCCATATATTATCAATCTTACACATGCTGTATCTGTGCATCCAAATTAATACCTTGAATACCTTGAATACCAAAACCGTCTTCACTCCAGCTATGTTTTTTTATGATATGTAAATACTATATTTAATAGTATTATCATCATTATTATCATTATCATATATTGTTATTATTATTATAACTATTATTATCATTATGATTCTTGATATTGTAATTGTTTTTGTTATGTTATTAGGCCTAATATTATTATTACTACTATTATCATTTTTCAATATCTAATATCATTATTATTATTTTTTAATATTGTCATCATAATTATCATTATTGTATTAATTTCTTCTCATCAATATTGTCATCAATATTTTCATCCTTTATTTTTATTCTTCACTTTTCCTTTAAAAAAATACTTATTTTAATTTAGTTTTCATTCTTTTACCTCTTTTTGTTTCATCTTGTTTTTTCTATTACTTCATCTTCCACTTCTTTATGTCCTCCTTTTATGTTCTTGTTCCTTCTTTTTTTTTTTGTTGTTTTTACTCATCATCATCATCATCATCATCACCTCCTCCTCCTCCTCCTTCTTCTTCTTCTTCTCCTCCTCCTTCTTCTTCTTCTCCTCCTCCTCCTCCTCCTCCTCCTCCTCCTCCTCCTCCTTCTTCTTCTTCCTCTTCTTCCTCTTCTTCTTCTTGTTCTTCTTGTTCTTCTTGTTCTTCTTCTTGTTCTTCTTCTTCTTCTATATCATCATCATTATCTTCTTTTTCTTCTTCTTCATTATCATCATCATCTTTTTCTTCTTCTTCTCCTTCTTTTCTTCATCTTTTTTTCCATTTTGAAGTCATATTAAAGACTTTATAAAAGAAGCATTCATTTTCTTGTTTTGGGTCATGAAATTTCTAGGCTTTAGAAATCTTGGATTTTTGCACTAAAGATTTTGAAAATCTTTGTTAGTCTTATTCCAAATATTTAACTTATATACACGTATAGTTATTTGATGCATGCATTTTTTTGAATACGATATATATTCCTCCCAGTTTTTAAATCAATATGAATTGATAAATTATCAAGCCCCTCTATTGAGTTTTAGTTTTATTAACAATAAGAACAAGTAAAACATAATGTATCAATCGTGATCACATAAAATAAAAAAATATAACTCAAGATAAATAACATTATACATAAACATTATTTTACATATAGTGAAAGAAAAGAGTATCAGCGTGTCCACACACAAAATTTGTTATCCCGAAACTCTATAACGAAACGTTGTATAAAGAATCATCGTATAAATTCCAGGGCGTCCACACACACGAGAAAGTTATCCCGAAACTCTATAACGAAACATCGTATAGGTGCCCAGTTTGCTACTGTCTTTGGTGAGTGCCAAAAAATACCCAGGTCCCAATTTCGCTTTTCTCCATTTTTTATAGATATACCTGCAAAGTGATCTTGCAAAGTGAGTTTAATTATAATAACATATTTTTTTGATTCTGTTTTATATCAAGTTTATTTCTTGAAATCACTCTCTGATACATGTCTCTGTTGCGGTGGGTCCCCGCCCAGTTATACTAGTTACGTCCACAGTCAAAACTTTCTGTGATTAGCATGATTAAGCGTGATTCTTTATTGAGTTCTAGTTCGAAACGATGCCCAAACCCACGTTTCGTTATACGACGTATCGTTAGTAAGCGTCCACACATGCAATTTCATCGTATAACTTTCCCGAAACAGTATAACTATCCCGCAACGATATAACTAATCATCCCTAATCACGGAAAGTGTTGTGTCTGGACATGGGGTATGTGTACATTTTTGTTGTTAAATGGGGTACCAGAAGTTGGCACAAGTGCTAGTCGAGTCTGGGTATATATACCGGTATGTAACATAAACTAATCTATATAGTGAAAGTAAACAAGGAATAGAATAGTCATTTAGAAATATTCCTTACTGAATATATACATGTAACTGTATTTCCTTGTAATCTATTTACAGCTGAAAATTACCTCTGAAGGGAAGGCTGAAGGCTGGTAAAAAGCACAGTAATATTAGAAACCTTTGCATTCTGTATTTTCTGAGTTGGACAATTTGGACTTAAGCAGCATCTTATTCGATAGTGATGCATTGAGAAGGAGGAAAGGATGGGAGCAAGGAAAACAAAGCTTGCAACTGATGATAATGATGGAAACCGGAAGCAGGTTGATGATAATAGTCAGGACAGCTTCCAACTGTACTCACTGGTAAACTTGAAAGGAGGAGGGGAACTTGTTGAACTCACCAGGGAGGGTATTAAGACAAAGGACTGGAAACCACTAGAGGACAAACTCAGAAGTGAATCGGTAAGCATCTTGTGCAATTATGTTATTATTATTTTTGTGGAGTGCTATCAGCTACACAAATGTGCCTTATGGGTTTTATGGCATGCAAGTACATGTACTTGTCTAGGGTTATAGTCCGCAGTTTCTATGTGCAGTAAGTCAAAAGTCACTTGCACCCAATTTTATAGGAATACATTAGTGGGTGTACAAATCTAGCTCACAGCAAATTGGATGTAGGCCATATAGCCAGTAGATCAAGCTAGTAGATCAATACTAATGATTCTTACACTTACATATATCTTCAAGATACATGTACACTGTCTGTATGTATAATTGTTACTCAGTTGACTGTTATAAACTATATTAAATGTTAAAGGTAAATACCAGTTCTGGTCATGCAATTGGATTGTGAAAGAAACGTTGTGGAATCGATCAAAAAAGGTTGATCATCTAGCATATACATGTAAGCATTGGTGTGTACTGCAAGATTCTGGAATCATCAAAATTATAAGAATTTTGGCCCAGTCTTGGTAAAGTTACAAGCACTGTATACAGAAAGATGAATATGAGACTATGCAACTCGTGGGCGATATATCTGTCCGGAAATATATAATAATTTTCCAAATATATCAATTAGTAGGCGGTTTGTATCAAAATTTGTATCATTACGTATTAGTCAAAACATATTCTCTCACATGATTGGTAATAAGACCTTCCATTTCATTTTTTGAGAGGGGGGTGGGGGGGGAGGGGCGTTTCCAAAACTGGTCTATACCTTTAATTTTTGCTTGCAGTGGCCATTCGATACAAAAAATGCTCACATTTTTTTCTATTTTCAAGGACTATCTTTATCATATAGTTTACTTTTGTTATTGAAAATATTCTTGATAGCTGTTGTTATTAATCGTCACAACAAAATTGTGGGTAATGTTGTGCATACTTTGATGAAAGCTACCCAAATAATTTTCACCAGGATAGCATGCAGTATTCATGGTAGTTAAAAGATAACCAGTATTTTCATGAAGAAAGCTAAGGTGTATTTCCTACCGAGTGTTAGCTGAAATTATATTTGGTTCTAGTGTAACTTCTAGATCAGTTTAAGTAACTATAAAGCAAAGATCAGTAGATTTTATTTGTAATATTATACTTTGGCTTTTCGATTCATCATTTGACTACCATGTGATTGTCATAAACATCGTTGTCTTAATTATGGCGCTGTACTGCTGTGTGTCTAGTTTTGTGACTACAAAATGTAGACAGTTTTTAATGGAAGTTGGCTTGAAGTATTAGACTAGTACTTCATTTGCCTATCATGTTCGGTCATCTGACATGGCCTACCCAATCATGGACCAATAAACCAATCAAGTCTGAGGTTTAAAGAGGAAGTACAGCCTGATAGTAAGTTGGTTTTGATAAAAGCAGAAAACAACAAAAACAAATAAGTGAAAGTTAGAGCAATATCCGATAAACACAAATTACATGTACTAGCAACACTGAGACGCAATTAGCGAGTATCTCTCTCCAATTTGCTCTGTACAAAACATTTCATAAACTTTCATTTTCTTAGTTATTGATGATGGAATAGATTTGTTTCATACAGGGGTTGTATAAAAGCATATATTTGTAATTATTATATTTATGGTGATTGAAAGATTGAACATTTTCTTAACAGAAAAAAAAAAAAAAATTATAAACAGAGCAAAAATCAACAAATGGGAGGGCAGTGGGCACCTAGCAAGAGTGTTATTTGTATGTCACAGAGTTGCAAATTTGCGTTTGATTGATCTTATCTTTGAACATTCATAACTTTTTTATATATTTTTAATCGATTTTCGCTCAAACATTCACTGAGTTATTTTGTCTTCATTTTTTCAATTTCTATTAAAGAGACTTGGTAACATTGTTCAGATGAGAGATAGTGGTGCTAAGGTAGTGACTTCAATGCTAGATGTACAATTAAAGATAATCTGAAAATTTGAGTGAAAACGGACTGTTATTCATGGTACAAATTGGGAAAAACTGATCTGATCGATTCCTTAATTCTCCCAACTATATTATTTCAATTTAATTACATTTTAGGTGAATGGAAATCTCACAAACCAATAAAATGGCTCTACATTCCATTCCAGACATTTAAGTGTTCACAGATTTTTTATAGCCAGTTTTATGTCTTTTTTTCATGGAAAAACAGTTTGGAAAATTCAAAAATGGTTGGGAGAATTTACTGTTAATCAGTGTTAGAGGGTGTCGTACATCGACGCCTTCAAAGAAAACCATGTATATCTTTGTGGTTTCAGAATTTGTTCAATATTTTTTGCATGTCAGAGGGTTAGTACAGTAGAAGGAATATAGTAAGTAACATTTAATATAAATACTAAGCAATTTTTTCATCAACCTTCAACAATGTTACCAAGTCACTTTAAAACCATTTTAATATCAGGGCGGACTTCCCCTTTAAGGACCTTCTCCTAATTGAGAAGCTCTTTATCAGATCATGTAAACAAAGCCAGTCAAGCAGGGGACTGTATACAGTTGTATAAAGTGCTTTGACCCTGATACCCTGACCTATAGTTGTAGATGGACTTCCAGGGCTATGGTACTTAACAGGTGCATATCTTCTGTTTAGAACCAGAAGGATGTAAAATCAAAAGAGATAACTCCCTTTGGTTTCTAGCATAAAATGTAATGATAGGTTGTAGATAGGGTAAATTTAGTTCTTCCGTTGACATTCATTTGTAGTTTATAAAGGAAATGTCACAAGTTGATAGATATAACTCAAATACTGTTGACACAAAATAGGCACTCTTTAATTGTAACTAATTTTTTTATATCACCTTTATTGTGCGAAAGCAAATGGAAATTTATTTTCTTGCAAGGTAGACTACACATAAGGACATCATGTAGATACATACATGTAGATATAAACATGTACCAGGGTAGAGAGTGGCAACTGTTTACAAAAAGGCTTGTCAAGGGAAAAGCAAGAACAAAAATGAACTTTAAGCAACCCTTCTATCAAATGTTTGGACTTTACGTACCGGTAATCACATTTCTCCATCTTACCACCAATATTTCTATATTTGATTACCGTTAAGTTTCTTTTACTACTAAATATATTGACTGGTTTGTATCATGTAATAACGTCTAGCTAACACCCACTGCTTCTTTAACACAGCTAGCATGCACTGCATGTGGAGCCTAAGAAATTGGTCTCCTGTGAAAGCCTGTCATTGCTTTAATATACAGGCGCAGCATCCTATTTAACTAATTGCTTTTAAACCCAATCTAGCATCAAACTGGAAAGGTATATGCCAAATTATTAACACACCAATTTACATGTACTAGTAGATTATCCATGCTCTATAGAAGTCATGCTCCATTAATCATACATGATGTAGGATGAATTGAGAAACATGTTAAGAAAAAACATAATTGGTGGATATATTTTAATACAACCACTGCATGTAATTAATATGTTTCTATCAAAGTATTTAACCACAGTGATACCAATGTAGGATTCTTACAATTTTGGGCTATTTTCTGTACATTTGTATAGTATATCCTAGAAAACTAAAAAACATATTTTTAGGCTAAGCATTTGGAACAAAAGATAGATGAAAAATATATTCAGTTTTGAAGATAGTAAAAGAACAAAAACAAATATTTTCTGTGCTGCTTTTTATCACTATTTTTTTTCTAGATTTATATTTTTTATTTCATTTTGACTATAGGGGAGAAACTCGAATGGTAGAGTAATACCAAACACTAAGCTGGACATAGCTGCACAAAATGGCGCCACAGCTTAACAACTACAAATAAATGACGCTCTGTTAAAGTATAGGACATATATTCAGGTTAAGAGATTTCTACACAAACACTTAGATGGCTAGAATATCTTCATCTCGAAACTGACTCTTGTCATGCATGTGTGTGGTTTCTAGTCCCACTCTGAGCAGTCAAAAATGCATTCATAAATGATTGTCGCTGCATAGTGTGTAAGCGTGTCCCTCTTCCATTCTCGATGCAAGCTCGGGTTCAGGGTGAAAACACTCTGTTCCTCAAACAGAACGGGGTAACTGTGGGCCAGTGTGAAGGAGAGTCACAACCTATGCATGTTAATATGCTACACTTCTCGCAAAGAGTATAAATCTAGGTGGAATTTTACTTTTAACTAGGTGTTCAGTGTGCCTACATAATATACAACTGGTAATCTACATACAGATCTTTTTGATAGGCTGCATATCCTTTTGAAGATTAACAGTAGAAGAAGAAAGAAGAAAAAAAAAGTGGTCAACAGAAAGTAATCTAGGATAAAATTTGTATGGAATAGAATATTAAACCCTGAGCTGCCAAAATTATGTCCACTCTTTCACGTAGAAATACCAAATATGTGTACATGTACAGCACTCATCCACTGTAGCTTTGCCAAAACCTTGTAAACTCTCATTGGTAGCATGATAGTACAGTAATGGATGCACTAAATTGCTGATTGTATTGTGCAGATCAGAGTGTGTTGCACACATAACTGATTTTATTATTCTATAGTCCATTTTCGGTTCTTGTTTTAGCTCTTCATTTGATACACGAGTGATATAGGCAGTTTGGGAGAGATTGTAGATTTACCTTACTTTCTATTTTGTAGTGTAGAGCTATATTTGAACAGGACATTTTACTGTAGAATATGTATGAAATCTATTGATATTCATGTACCTCCTTTTATTTACAAGCTCTGTTATTTGCATATTTATTAGTTACAGTTGTCGTACAATGTACATAGAAATCCATGTAGATATATGCAAATAAACCCTCGGGTTGCAAGCATGCAATATCCCACCGCTGCCACCATGTGTGTAATTGGGTTTTTACAGACGTGTGTCAATCAGAAATGATTATTCACGTCTGGGGACCGACTTTTAACGTCACCATCCGAAAGATGTGACTCGGTTTCGAACGCCTCAACGCCACAACGCCACAACGCCACAACGCACGCCGCTGCCACCAGTTTGTAGGGTGGCCTATACGGCTAAGGCATGGCGAAGGCACGGCAATTCCCCACATGCAAGCATGGAGTGAAGATGTGTGTGTTTGTTGTTCTCTGTAAGTTAGAGACCCGCCTTGCCTTCACCATGCCTTAGCCGTATAGGCCACCCTACAGTAGTTTTGCTGGCACTGAGCTTATAAGGGTTAATATATATTATTGACTGTACATTCTATCATTCTTCTATTACAGGTGAAGAGATTCCTGTACAATCATGGACAAGGCAAAGATATCTCAATCAAGGAACTGGTTAACCGTAGGAACCAGAGCAGAACGGAGAAGGTTGAAATCATTGGAGCAGCGTCAAGGCAGCACAGTGCCAACACCATCAGTCCTGTGAAAGCTGGTAAGATGCAGCCTGCATGCATGTAATTATGTTAAAAAAAGATATTAAAAGGGCAAATGATAATCAACCTTAATCTACAGTGTAATAATGTTATTGCAGTAAATTTAAAATTGTTTGGAAATGTGTACATACCTGTAACAGGATAACTGGCAATATATGTTAATGGAACTAGTCATCGTAATGTTCAACTAATGCCTAGGTCACATATAAACCGGATCCCGTATGATTTCCCCTACCCGGCGGCTTACCGTGGATTTAGAGACCGTACGGGAACCTTCCGATTTTCATTTCTACGGCATGTGTGGTCGAATATTCTGTGGCGCCCGGTGAAAATTGGTGACGGCAGGGTGCCGACCGAGTGCGGCCGGTAAGCTAATGGGCTCCGTCCGATGAGCAGGTACACCCATGGCTCCGGGAAGGTGCTCTGCCTGGGCCCGGAGGGGTCCTCAAGGCGCCCAGCTGGGTGCCGGGCAGTGCACTGAACTATGTATCCTCTGGCATCCGCACCTCCTGTATTTAAAGCTGCGTTGTACATTTTGAGATGCGTCCGTGAGGGACACGCACAGGCAATATTCATTTCAAATGGCCCCCGGACGGCAGACGCCTGTTGTTGTGCATATCACCCGGGGCTCTTGCGGGGCCCGTGAGGGAGCCGTAAGGCACACATCAGAACCCTTGAGCACTGCAAGGCGCCCATAAAAGTATTTCATGAGAATTGACCAAAAAAAAATTGTAAAGGGCCTTTCCGGGCACCGTCCGGAGCCCGCACGGGACCCTTAAGGTGCCCTATGGGCCCTTTACGGGCTTTCTAATTCTATGGCCTAACGGTCAGATAAAAGTGCCAGGAGAATTGGGAGCAGCCAACTCAGCACCAGGCTTGGCGCCCGTACGGCTTAAAAAACTGTCCCGGCGTCCGTACGAACTTTACGGCAGCCGGCGGGTAACTGGCCGAAAATACTAAAAATGTCTGTTTTTACTCGCCATACGGGCCCCGGGGTGTATATGTGAAAGCCCCATAAGTAGGCCTATCGAAGTGCAGATAATGAACTGGAAAATATATTTTTTTGTATTATGATAATGATTATTTCAAATTGGATAATTTGTAAATATTCCTGTTTGTCATGTTTTAATACTCGGGCATATATTTTTTTCTCAAATCCATTCTCTATTAATATCACAGAAATACAGGTGTTATATTGTTTAAAACCATGGGTCTTTGCTGTCGTATATGCAAATTCTTTGACAGCCCAAATCATTTTATCATTTGATTCATTCTGTGTATAATATGTTTAAACATTGTTTCTCTTTCACTGCTGGGCCTGCTGCACATGGGCTGTACCAATCGGCAATTGCTACGCTACAAATGAATAAAATGTGAAAAACGCACTTAAATAGACAGTACAGGTTCTGAGGGTAATTTGCTGCCAAATTGTTAAAGGAGTTTCTGTTAGCAAATGAGTCGTGATCCTTGCAAATATAAAGCACAGCTTAGTTTGGCTATAAAGAAGCCCCACCAATTATAAGAACATTTTATTATCTTGCCTGGAAATTTCACTATTTTGCAGGCGCAATACGGAAAGTTTGCTGGGACCTAGACCAGCGAGGAGCTGTTGGAGAGACCATCCTCCATCTCTGTTTCCTTAATGCTACTGAGCTTCATAGTGAGCTTGCTAAGAGAATCATCAAAGAATATCCTCTCCTTGTTAATGACATCTTTCACACAGACCTCTACCAAGGTAATACTTGTTATTTCCCTTATATTACGGGCCACCTATATTACGGGTCTTGCATTGGTTGCCTATCCGATCACGAATTGAGTTTAAAGGCATCGTTTAACCATGTTTAATCTAAGATGCTTGGCCCTACGTGCTACTAGTGTCTGCGGTATGGTGTAATATTGAAGCCCTAAAAAAAATTGTGCTTCAAAATGATCAAGAAGTGCCTCAAAAAAGTAAAAATCTTGGAGTGACCGGTTTTACCATACATGTACTCGTTTCCCCAATAGACTGTAGTGTTATGAAATCGTTTGGCAAACGCAAAATTTGGTTTCGATTTCCAATCATAAATTTGTTGATAATCAGACAGGCGATCGGCTTGTAAAAGTCATGGAGTTCCTGACTGACCTAAAGGTTTATAATTATCATTGCAGCATGAGCTAAATCCAGGATTTTGTTTCAGATTCTGAGACAAAGTTACCGGATCCCTTTAAGATCTTGTTACTTGTGTATCAGTGTTTTCGTGAAATAGCTCCAACAAATCTCTCAGACCTCCTTGCAAAATACCAGTCAGTGAGAAGTCTGAGGTCAGCACAGAAGAACTTGTATGTAGTACCTCACATTTCAACTATCCTATGCATTAACCTGTGGAGAGGCCAGTACCCCTGGATTTCATAATCAGATATACCCAGATGAAAGCACTGACTGTCATAGTAATACATGTACTTTACCCCTCCCTGGTAAATGATTATGCTTCAAGATTAAATACAGGTGATAGGATTAATTGACAGTGAACTTAGTGCAAACATGTAGGCCTCTGTATGGAGATAACTGAGTTGTTATTCAAATTGAAATGCTTTCTTGTGATAGGTGAGAGCTGTCTTCACTTTGCCATCGTCAATGAAGACTTTACCATGGTCAAGTTCCTGGTTGAGAATGGTGCCAACATTGATGAGAGGGCTTGTGGCACTTTCTTTCTGCCTGATGATCAAAAGAACACCAGGAAGGACACCTATGACCATGAAGTTATTGTCGTGGATAACAAAACAAACTATCATGGGTATGAATTATACAACAGGATTTTTGCAATGTACCATGTATAACATCTTAATTCAGTATTACTTGTATTATAGAATTTACACTCACTGATACAACAGGCCCTATGTTTTATTGTATCTGATAAGCCAATACAGTCTACCTTGCACAAATCAAATCTTTTTTGACTCATAGAAATACATAATATTTAACTTATTTCAAAAGTCAATCTTGATTTACTGTAGGGACAGTAAGCAAAGACAAAAGAAGAAAACAGGCACAATTTGAACTATATATTGACTTCACCATTCATCAATTACTATTTGGTGATTGGCTATCTGCTCATATTAAAAAATGTTTTATGTATGAAATCATGCACACAACATTTTTTAACATATTGATCTGTCCACAAAAATGGAAATTAGCCTGTATGAACTGTGCGAAGTAGACCTAGAGGGAGGGAGACCTAGAGGGAAACCCAGAATCAACTGGGAAGAGAATGTTAAGAACTGGAGTGGACTAAAACTGCAAGAGTACACCAGAATGGCAGAAGATAGAGTGAAATGGAGAGATGTTGCAATCAACCTCCGAACCGGGAGAAGATACTCAGATAGATAGATAGATAGAACTGTGCGACTTTTAATATTTTTGGGCCGCAGGTATCTGCTGTCTCTTATCAACTTTAAATAAAAATATCCCAACATTACCAACACACTAGCTGTTACCTAATTCTTCTCTCCTGTTGATTCCCTAGACACACCTATTTTGGTGAGTATCCTCTGAGCTTTGCAGCATGTTTGGAGCAAGAAGACATCTTACGTTACCTTTGGAGCAAGGGAGCTGATGTGAATGCACAGGACTGCAATGGAAACACTATCCTTCATATGACAATACTTCACAAGAAGAGGGTAAAACAAAGAGCCAAAAAAAGAACATCATTCATTACCACTTCCATTTTTGTGGGACTTGTCTTTTTTTCAATGTCTTTTTACATTCAGTATATAGTTCTGTGTACATTGTGTGGATATACACACTTGGATGTCCTCCCGTATTTCATTTACATGTAATAGTCTCAGATGATTTATAGATTGATAAATAGGTCTAAATACCGGTAGATTGATTGTTGATTGGTCAACTTATCAGTCATATATATTTACATGCATTCCTATTTGTACATACAGACAAAACAAGAATATCTCTACTTTCATAGGGGATAAAATGCTAGATAATTCGTTAAAGAAAGTCTAGACGAATATGAGGAGGCCGTTATATAAGCCAAAGACCTCATCTCAAACATCTACGTTATTTCACCTCCACTTTCATACAAATGTAGTTTTCATCTGACAAAGGAGACAATTAAATATTAGGTGAAATAAAGAATCGCACATTGAAGAACTTGTGTTTTTATGAAAGAAATGAACTGCAATGAAAATAAAGATCACTAATTCTACTCCTGTCAGCTTTTTTGGTCTAAAATTGGTTGCTTTATCTTTATAAATTGAGGCTTTGAAAGGCTAAAATCAGGTTTAATATATATATTGTATATAAGTTGCAAAATTTGAGCAGTACGTTGCATCACCAAACATTCTATGGAATCTGCTGAAACGGCTGACTCTTACTGAGATCTCTGGTGGGTCACACAAGTGGTTCACTGCATATATCTTGGAGTAATTAAATGAGTTCAAATCAGGCAGTACAATAGAACAGTAGGTATAAAATTATGATTAAAAAAAAAACAACAATTACTTGTATATTGAGATGCAAAGCTTGTCACTTCAATGTGATGATATGATAAATCCTTAATTTAAGGTTATCCCCATTAAGGTACATGTATCCTTGATTAGACCGCCGGGTGAACCCTCAAAAGTGCCTTAGTTTTTGTGTTTTGTGACCCATGGTCGGCATCTACTTGAAAATAACCTCTAATGTGTAGAAAAATATACTGAAGATGATGGTGTAACTCGTCAGTAGAAAAAATTGCACACAAATTAATAATGTCCAGATTAATTTTTAATAAATATGACAAACGCCCTCTTGGGTCCATTCTGAGACAGCTGTGTATTATGCTATGTGAAAATGACTTGTATTGATATCGAGCAAAGCTGCAGTGCACTCAAAATATTCCCCTTTCCCTCTTTCCTCATTCCTTCCCCTTCTCTCTCTTTCCTAATCCCCCTCTCTTTCTCTCCTTATCCCCTCTCATCCCCCCACCCATTTTTCCTCATTCCCCCTCTCTCTCTTCGTCTCTTTATTCCTCTTTCCTCACCCCCTCTCTCTCCCTCACTCTTCATCCCATTCCCTCCCTTTCTCTTGTTTCCTTAATCGCTCTCTCTTTCCCATTCCCTCTCCCCCCTCACTCTTTCCCACCTCTCTATCTCTTTCTATGTCATACCCTTCAATATATATTTCAGGGAATGGCATATCTTTAAATAAAATAAATCACAATTTAAAACAAAGTTTGTAAGGCATGTTTGACCAATTATAATCTGGTTTCACATCAAATATATGACATATTACTATCTCACATTCTCAAAATACATGGTCAATAAAATTGTAAGCCTGCTTGACTACATGGATACTGCTCTTTGGGTTGATGTAGAGAAATTGTCAATTCACATTAAAATATTTTCAATAACAAACATTCTTTCAAGCGATCACATGTATGTATGTTTTAGCAAAAATACACATAAAATATACATTATAAATGGATGGCAGGGTCGCAGCCTTTGCTATTCTTCTTCAGTTTATCTAAATCATGTTCTTTAACATTTCCAGCAGGTAATTTCATACATTTGTCCAAATGCCATTTAGTAAAAGTTATCTGCTTTATCGAATCTGGCGGAAATTGGCAAAATAGAGCATCGCAATAAAGGTCTTTACACTGAATTTCCAAAAAAGGCTTTACATTTACAAGTAATATTTTCAATAACAAACGTTCTTTCAAGCAATTGCTCAAAAAGCATTACAACATGTATGTACCCGTATGTATTAGCGAAAACACACATAAAATATACATGTACATTGTAAATAAAATTTAAAAATTCATGGATGACAGGGTCCCAGCCTCTGCTATTCTTCTTCAGTCTAATATATCTAAATCATGTTCTTTAAAATTTTCAGCAGGTAATTTCATACATTTGTCCAAATACCATTTGATACAAGTTATCTGCTTTATCGAATCTGGCGGAAATTGGCAAAATAGAGCATCGCAATAAAGGTCTTTACACTGAATTTCCAAAAAAGGCTTTACATTTACAAGTAATATTTTCAATAACAAACGTTCTTTCAAGCAATTGCTCAAAAAGCATTACAACATGTATGTACCCGTATGTATTAGCAAAAACACACATAAAATATACATGTACATTGTAAATTAAATTTAAAAATTCATGGATGACAGGGTCCCAGCCTCTGCTATTCTTCTTCAGTCTAATATATCTAAATCATGTTCTTTAAAATTTTCAGCAGGTAATTTCATACATTTGTCCAAATACCATTTGATACAAGTTATCTGCTTTATCGAATCTGGCGGAAATTGGCAAAAAAGAGCATCACAAGAAAGGTCTTTACATTGAATTTCCTAAAAAAAACTTTACATTTACAAGTAATGTGACATACAATGATTTAAATATTGTTCCTTCTTTGCCTTGATCTCATCTGTGCTCACTTGTTTGTTGTAATGTTGCAGAAGTGCCTGTAGCAGCCCGCATGGTATCCTGGTTGGACATACCTTTATTGAAAATAAATAAAAGCAAGGATCATTTAATATCATTTATTAAAAAAGAAGTATTCATCACTACAAAACCTACAGTATGAGTCGAATCTAGCATATAACTATCATCAAAATACAAATTTTTAAAAATATCTGTGCTGACTGGTTACTGTCTCTAACTGAAAGCGAACGGACTGGACATCAGTAACACTAGCAGTGAAAATTATTCAGAACTGCTTATTAGAAAACGTAAGGAGGTGTCTCATATTTGTATGAAGTGTTTTTTTGTGTGTAGAGCATGGAGGGCATGATACGGTACTGTAATACATTTTTCATCATGAATAAAAAAGATCAGCAGGTGAGCAGGGCAAGGGCAAGGCTCATTCTCCAACACAAGTGGACTGTGGGCCTCACCATGCAGAATTTTTCAAACATACAACAACAAAAAACAAAAAAAACACCTTGATTGTGGAAATTTAGGGGGACAGTGGCCCCTCACCCCCCCCCCAAAAAAAACCCCACCAGTACGCTGTTCTCAGACGATACCGTAAATCAATATTTGGACAATAAATACCCACATTAATTATGAAGACCTGATCTGTACTAATGTAGTATACATGTAGAATCAAGCCTGTCCAGTATCCAATTTGACTTGATCAACCACTTTGATCAAGTCAGCTAGGCCTCAATTTCGAGAGCATAGCCTTTTTTTTAGAAAGTAGAAATTACCCGGTAGATATTCTAATCTAGATTCTCTTTTTTCTTGATTCTAGTTGTAACGTTTAGGGCCAGGAAATAGTCATATGACATCTAGAAAAAGAAGTAGTAGTCTAGAAGTAGAAGCAGACAAAGATCCCGGGTTCGACTCCCACCCAGGCGGATGACCGAGGCCTGCGTTGTGTGTTAACGTGCCCCTTCCCTTTTTAGACGCAGGTTATGTAAAGTGGAAAACACTCCGTCCCTCCGATAGGACATTAAATGGAGGCACGCTAAGAACCCATTGCACTATTCGTATAAGACTAAGACTAAACCCCGGTGTAATAAGTGCAAGAATCTTCACTTCAGTATTATTTGAAGGAGGCAGATTATCTCGAAGAAGAAGAAGAAGAAGAAGAAGAAGAAGAAGAAGAAGAAGAAGAAGAAGAATAGGATCAGAGTTATTCTGAACATGCTGAAATAATTAATACAATCATTTCTTCGGAATGACATAGATCTAGGCCTACCTCTTTTTTGTTGAACTCCCTGGTACACTCCTCCGCGGCCGCCCGAGGCGCCGGGCGAGTACTGCTCTGTCTGCAGCTCGAACGAGTCGAAGTCGAAGTTGACCGCAATCGCAGCAATTTTGCTTTCTAGTTCAAACCCAAAACTGACGTCCTTCCAAAGATCTGCACACTCCTTGAATTTTCTGTAACTCTTCCCACTGAAAGATATCACCTTCCTGTGAGTCGAAATTGTATGCATACAGCAAAAACCTGTGTTTTCCTCTGAAACATTCAGTTGTTGACGACAGATTACTACACCTGAAGCTCGAAATAGCGCGCGCCAGTGGTACGTGCACAACACTGCCTGTGATTGGCTAAAAAGCTTGAAGCGCTGTAACCTTTACTTGATACATGCACAGTGATTGGACAACCTCCGTGAAAAAAAAGAGAAGATTTTAGGCACCTTTTTTCCATTTTTTGAGCTTATTTGCATTTTTTTCGATTGACGAGTTGTGACTATAATATCAAAATATATTCTTTAATAATATCCACTATTAAGAAAGTAGATGCCGAGCCGAGGTCACGAAACTGACGAATTTTGGGGCTCACCCGGCGGTCTAGATATTACTATTTCACTATTCCAATGATATATATGCACCTATCATCATGCTTGCCTTTATTTACAGGCTCAGTTCACCCAGGCCTTTGAGCTAGGGGCAAGTTGCAGCATCACCAATTACCAGGGGTACACTCCTCTCTGTTTGGCAGCAGAGCTGGCAGATATTGAATTCTTTGAGAGCATCATTCATCTAGAGCGCCAAGTTTCATGGAAATATGGTGATGTAACTTGCGCCCTCTATCCTCTCTACAACCTGGACAGTATCGGAGTTGATGGGAGCGTCAATGAGAAGTCAGCTCTATTCACTATCGTCAATCAGGTAGAATCATCTAATAACATGCTTTTATATCATGCTTTAACCCTAAAAAGGCGGGACTATTTGAGGTCTTGATACGGCCGGGGGGGGGGGGGGGGGGGGGGAGGGGGGCATTATGGCTCGGCCCTAAGATCTCGGCCTTGAAAAGGCTGATTGCCGCGAAAAATTTGCACGCATGTCAAGTGAAGTGTATAGAATACAGGGAGTCCTGTACCAAAAATGGTGCTTTTATCCGGCAAGTAATGATAATTTCATAAGCCACCTGACTATAATAACATGCTTTTATATCATGCTATAACCCTAAAAAGGCCGGGCTATTTGAGGTCTTGATACGGCCGGGGGGGGGGGGGGGGGGGGGGGGGGGGGGGGGGCATTATGGCTCCCCCCTAAGATCTCGGCCGTGAAACGGGCGATTGCCGCGAAAATTTGCAGGCATGTCAAGCGAAGTGTATAGAATACTATGGTAAATTTAATTTTTTGAAAAATTCACTTATTTGCATATTTATGGTAATTTATGCAAATAAGGTAATAACATTCACCTTTTTACCCATAAATCATATATTCTTTATATTTCAGCATTCTTTTTCTCAACATGTATTCGTTAGACCATTTGAAACAATAATAAGACACAAAATTTGGAAGAGTTAGGTTATTCCTTATGTTATCTCTTGTTTTGATAATTTCTTATGTATTTCATTGTTTTTTCAACTTTTGTATTTTATTGTTTTGTTCTTCTTTTTTTCCTTCTAACTACTATTCAACTGTTTTGACTCCCAAAATAAACATCTAAACTTTAAACAAGATCCAATAACCAATGTTTTTTCTCTTTTTAGGAAAAATGACATTTCCATATGTTTTGTACACAAATCAAAATGAGCGATTTTCGGGCTGACATGCAAAGACTAAAGGTCATGCGACTTTGTAACTATAACCCCCGATGCGCAAGACTCAAAAGAAAAAAGTCAGCGAGCAGCGGGGCGCCATCCGGCATCCATATGCGTTCCCAAACAATCAGAAAAATTGCGGAGGGGGGGGCCCATAACGGCCCCCTGGCCATATTAGGGTTAAGTAAGTTGAAATCAAACTACACCCCATTTTCTACATTTGCTGTAGAACTCAAGTGGTCAAATCTAGCGGATATGTCACTTAACTGTGTGGATTAGATATGGTTCGTGCTCCATTAAGTATTGCATTCTCACGTACATCACGAGATGCAGACTCGTAACTATGCACATATCAATGAAATGAAACCATTCCATGTCTCTCACTCCTAGTCTGACATTGATCATCTGGGCTTAATGAAGGGTCTGATGACTAAACTGCTTCACGAAAAATGGAAGACATTTGGACGGTTTCAATTCTACCTGCGCATGGGGCTCTTTATATTCTACTTGATACTGCTGACAACAGCATTCTATCTGCGCCCTGGAAAGGTATGTGTAATTTGGGAATGTCTATAACAAGAACACTTTCAGCTATGTATGCTTGTGTTGTTTATGAGTATTTAGAGATGAGGAAGTTAGCTATATAGCTGTCCAAATCATATTTGTTTTAATATTAATATATTAATAATTATCATCAGTAACAAATGAGTAAGACAGTTCATGTACATGAAGTTGTACTAGAAATATAGAGAAAAAAAGCTTAGGTCATGTCTCTGGAGGGTCTGTTTTCTTTAGAGGACCTATTATAATATGATATACATAATATATTTTCAGTATATTCAGATATTTTTTATACAACAAACTGGAGAAATATCCAAGTCTACATCACAATCCAGTGACCAAACAGCCGATTTGAGATAGACTTGGTGATCTCATATTAAAAAGAATTGATTTGATTTGATTTGATATGATTTATAACTTTCTTATTATTGGTCTGATTTATTTCAAACTTTCACCATTCTGTTTGTCTTACTTTTGTGTGCTAATAACGTACCATACAAATGAACTCATTACATGGGTTTGATTGCCCTTCATTCCTCAAACTTGGTGCATCATCATCATAGTGAGATGAAGTGATTAGATTTTGGGATAAGGTCAAAGGTCAAGGTCATAGAATATGTGTGTATCAGCAAGTAAACATTAAAGATATGGGGACAAATGTGTAGTTAAAAGTTATAAGGTGATATTAAACTCCCAATCTTCCCTCCTCCCCCCAAATAAAAAGGAAAAAAAGAATGATTGATAGAAAGATGAAAAATATGATAAAAGATGAAAATTACATTCCTGTTCAAGAAATGGGAAATTGGTGTGATGAGTTTGAGAATGTATGTATAAACCAAGCTATACCTTTCATTGTATTATGCCAGGACCGTAATGCTAGAGATATCAATGTCACTGATTCGTTTGGAAACACTACGGTTGTGCATAAGTGGAATAGGTGTTATCTGCTCTATTCAGACACAACCCAAGACAAGGTAAGTCTTAAAGATCATACTTACATACAATCTGACATCGGAAGAAGATTCCATTTATCATGCATGTGATAAACCAATAAAATATATCCTACATGATGCACCAATGCATTCATATTAAAAAGACAATACCTACGTGCTATAATGATAATAATAATATGGATATTCATATAGCGCTGGTATCTGCCAGGCTCATGACGCTGTACATATTTTATTACCCTGGTTGTAGCCAAGCTTCTAAAGAAAGAACCACTCAAGCATATCAGGTACCCATTAATTTACACCTGGGTGGAGAGTAGCAAATGTAGATTAACGTCTTGCCCAAGGACATTACTTATTAGTGCCACGGCGGGACTCGAGCCCGTACCTTGTGATCTGCAGTCGGGCGACTTATCCACTAGACTACAACACCTCTACAGGATGTTGTTATCACCCCTCATCTCCCCCAAAACAATAGATTTCTCATAGCCTAGCTCCCTAATAATATGCCCCTAATTTATAGCGACTGAGAGCAATCTTTCTCAAATTTCCTCGAAAACCCCATCAAAATCGGTAATTTCATGTAATGAGAACTATTTGGTCGCAATGTGACCTCAAAAATCTTTAAATTTTTGCTGGCTCGCTTTGCTAATGTTGGGACATCGAACCATTCACATACAGATTGAAATATTTTTTGGTGATTGGTGTCACTCTAATTTGCAGTTGAGGGAGCAGAAATGTGATATCATGACTATAACCTATCCCTTTATAAAATGTAATTATTTTTTAGACGTATGAAATAATAATTGTAATCATTGAAGCTTAATAGAAACATGTACTACATTTGAGCAAGAAGGAAGTATACAGACTCAACTTACTGATTTATTTATCTTTCAGTGTCGTCTAGCATTTGAGTGCATGACTGTCTTTGGAGCTATCATGTTCCTTTACTTTGCAGCTAGAGAGCTCCATCATCTTAAAAAGCTCTATTGGAATGTACTGGTGAGGTTCTCTTATTTTATTCTCACGTAGTAACAAGCAAGAATTCTTTAGAGTCCTTTTCCTTGCCCAGATGTACAAGTATAAACAGATGAAGGAGTATTTTATTTTCTCAATATTTCCTCAAACTTTTGAAAGAGTAAAATAATTAACATTCAGTTCTTTCATCATACATCAAAATTTGAATCACTCAAAGGCTATGGTGAGAGTGATTATTTCTGTAATAATACCACAGTTTTTCAATAAATGAGATAGTATGGAATACAATAATGCCAGTTATCTGCAAAGTAAAATGTATTCTTGTAAAACTGTCCTCTGTAGGGATATTGTTGATTGAAAAGTAAATAAAGTTGAATTACCAAGAGATCTGCTATTTAATCAAAATCACAGAAATCTGTTATGATTATTGTGCTTAATATCCTTATACATTTACATTTTTTTCTTCACCATTACATATAATTATGGTAGGCCTATTCTATTGATTCTATCACATATGTAGGATTAAAAGATAAGAGGAGTCTCAGAGATATTGAGTACATCGCTTGATCACAGAATTTACTATGTAAATGTTAAAATAACCTGGCTTGTAAATTCTTCCTTTTTCATGAGGAATTCATGTTGCTTCATTTATAATTATTATTATTGATGGATTGTTTTTTTTTACAGCGTAATGCCCCAGCCAAGGCCATGTTCCTCTTATCTTGCTTCTTTGTGATCCTGGCATGCTTTGGGCGGATTCCTCCCTGTGCTCCCTACTATGAAGATGTTCTTATCATCCTGTGTGTGCTTACAGCATGCCCTTACTTCCTCTTCTTCTTGAGGTATGTGTCTAAACTCTCAAAGTGAGACCAGATTTACGCTTCACAGCAACTCTTTACATCGGGCCGATGGCCCATTGGTCTATTGAAACAACCCTTAAAGAGAAAGTCCTGCCCATTTGAAAGTTTACTTGAATAACTAGAGAAAAATAAAAATCATCAAAATCGGACGAAAAATAAGAAAGGTATGGAATTTTAAAGTTTTTCAAAAATTTCATGAAACAGTGATATGGATCATATAGACTGTATGCAAATTAGCGATTTGATGATGTCATCCCCCTACTTCTATCCATTTTATACATACATTTTACCAAAATTTCACTTTTCTGCTCTGGGAATGTAAAACATGGATTAAATCCTCACTGAATATGTGCAAAATCACCATTACTGTAGCTTATTGTAATATGAAGGAAAAAATGTATACAGGTGTGTATATAAAAAATAATAAAAAAATAGAAATTTCATAAACAAAATGTATGGGGAAAAGTGAGGAGATGACATCATCAACTTGCTAATCTGTACACAACCTATGTATCAATGTTTCGCTAAAGGATGCTAAATGTTAAATTTTTGTATTTTTCATCCGATTTTCATGAAAATTTTACTGTTTATGAAAAATAATTGTTCTCTTTTTAAAAATTAAACTTGCACATGTGTAAGAATTGCCCTTTAAGAAATAGGATCAGTCAGATGTGTGAAAACTAACTCTGAAAACTCTAACTTTCACCACAATAGGACATACATACAGACTGTAGAGAAATTCTCATTCAATTTCAAGAGAGAAAGAGAGATCAGATCATAAAGATACCATTTTATCAAGTATGTTTGGTTTTAAAGTAAACTGGAAGAGTTGAATTTGCCCATAATGAATGAAAGTATAAATTGCAATCTTCTGTCTTTTGCCTTCCTGTCAGGGACTGAAACTTGTATATAATGATGCAATGTGGTGCAAAACAAAAAGAAAGAAAAGGAAGGATGCCTTATGAATTTCCATTTGGAAATAGAGTTCACTATTTGTGATCAACAGTTGTTCATCAAGGTTTTCACGATGCTTATGTTTCCTGTTGTAGTTATTAGACATGCACTTCGATAGGATGGGCTATAGTCTTATAATGGAGACCGAGGCCGAGACTGAGGCATAATCTTCCAAGCTGAAGACCTTGTTAGGTGCCTTGAGCATCTCTTGGAGTGGATATGTGCGCATTATAAATGTTGTTGTTATTATTATTATTATTATTAAGACAAACCCTTGAGACTGAAACCTCTGAAATACCAGACTGACCCTTCAATTATTTTTTTTACAACAGAGTATATGCCCTTGTAGGTCCATTCATCTTCATGATCTACAAGATGATTCAAGGAGATCTGCTCAAGTTTCTTCTTCTCTATCTCATCTTCTTCATTGGTTTCTCACAAGGTAAGTTCCGAAAATTGTTATCTGTCCTTTTTCCCCCTCATATCTAGGCAATGTTGTTTGATCATAGCCATTTTTGTCATCTCTTGAAGTTATATTGATGTTAAGTTTATTCAAACATCTTAGAAGAGTAATTTTGCTTGTCATGAGATTATCATTGCATGTATTCAAAGAGTGTCTTATTGTCTTTTGGTATACATTGCTTCGTTTAATAAAATATGACATAAAATGTGGCATAATTTTTTACAAATAATTATTCAAAAAATATGTTGTTGGAAACTGCTGCCCAGAATGATTTGGATCGATTTTGATTTTGTAATTGTCAATGATAAACGGTACTTGAAAGCTATCTCTTTATCTTTTTGTTTATAGCAATGCACATTGTATTTCTATCCTCTGTGGGTGCTGAAACTAATTTCATCGACTCTGCAGTCAACATGTTTGTCATGTCTCTAGGAGAGTTTGGAGACGTGTATGAAAAGTTTGATGAAACTCGGTACCCGCACATGGCAAAGGTAGGCTAAAAGCCCTATTTACCTCTTTAACAAGTAATTTAGATCTGATTGCTGATTATAATGATTTATACAACACCTACATGGATCCTTGTCATTTGATTCGAGGATTGTTGGTCACATGATATTCAATAGATGTTCTATTGCACGGGCATGCACTTTTGGTTATATTCGCTGTGCATTTTTGGTTATATGCAGACTGCGTACCTCTCTGCCGTGCGCGTATCCCTGCGTGTATCTGACGCAAAGGCAATCTGAATGTTATCGAGAAGGATTGACTCCAACTTTAATTTATCTTTAATATAAGGAGTAAAGCATAGTTTGTTGATTAACATTCTATTAGATCTTCTTTGATGTACCGTAGTATAAAACAAATAATGAATGTTTTTCATTCGTTCAATATAGTGCGAATGTTTACATTCGTTGAAAGATTAACGTTAATTCTATTCAACTTGGCTGACGCCTCGTTGAATAGAATGTTCGCACTATTGAACTCATAACCATTCATTATTTGTATAATATTGCTACAATTTATATTTTGCTCATACCCTTTTCAGGGATGCTCAAGGCGCCTTCAAAGTAGTTATTAGTATCATGGCTTTAACCCAGCTGCCATAAGGCACTAAAATCATTAAAAGCATCAAAGAAATTACTTTCTACCAGGTACCCATACGAAACCTAGATGGAGAGTGGAAAATGTATACCTTCATTATATCAATTGTTTAGTAAAGTAAAAACGGTTACTTTTCAGGTGTTTCATTATTCAGGGATGCTTGTTTTGTTTTCAGACTCTACGGTAGATATCTGTAGTATTTCCTACACAATGCGCGCCTGGTATACTTTGCAGGCATTGCTCAGCATTTTCATTGAAATACATTTCTTTGCTTAATTGTGACGTCTCTGCTACGTATTCAAACTTAACACCAATATATTTGTAATGTTACCTAGGCTTTGCACCTAGTAATTTTACAGGTGCTTCTCAACATTTTTAGTAAAGCACATTTTCTTTACTTAATTGCTCAAACTTTTCACCAAGATATTCCTCTGAGCTTGTAAAGCGTTTCCAAGGTAAAATGCCTGGTTACTTATTTGTATTAAAGGTAAAGACCAGTTATGGTCATGCGATTGCATTGTGAAAGAAACGTTGTGGAATCGATCAGAAAAGGTTGATCATCTAGCATCTAGCATCTGCAAGGTTCTGGAATCATCAAAATGATAAGAAATTTGGCCCATTCTTTGTAAAGTTACAAGCACTATACACAGAAAGATGTATATGGGACTACCCTATATCTCTCACAGACCATGAGAGAAACAAATTTACCAAATATATGAATTAGTAGGCGGTTTCCCTGCAAATTTTTTATCATCATGTATTAGTCAAGACATATTCTTTCACATGATTGGTAATGAGAGCTTCCATTTCATTTTTTGAAATTGGGGCGTTTCCAATACTGGTCTTTACCTTTAACACTATTTGTGCGTTGCCTTAGAAAAGCTAAAATTATTGTTCATGATATTTGTCATCATAAATTGATAAAAACTTGAAGCATGAAACTTGTCTTCTTCATCATTGATATATATATATATATGAAAATGTCTCTATTACATCACATTAATTTTACAATTCAAACAAATTACACAAATCTAACAAAGAAATGATGATTTCTCTGTGTCTCTCATTATCCAGTTCTTGTTCTTTGTGTACATGGTGCTTGTGACACTGCTTCTGGTTAACATGCTGATTGCCATGATGGGGAACACATTCAGTACCATAGCTAATGCAGACTATGAGTGGCAGAGACAGGTAATTGCCTAACTATGAAGCTTGTGTTATTATCTAGAGGTAAATGAGGGAAAATAAAGAGGGAAAAAACAAAACAAAAACAACAACACAGTAGTATAGTTCGAGTCAAGAAAAGGATGGTAAACAGAGTCCAATTGCGGTGAGATTTTCATAACTATGTTCATTTTGCCTCAAATCAATATCAAATTAGTTTACCGGTAGGCCTACTTTAATTCTTAAATGGAAATCATGGTGAAGGAATCTGTTCTTCTTTTTCTAAATATATCTTAGAAATTTGACAGTTTTAGAAGCTTGAATTTTAGATCTGTTTTGCAAAAGTATCCAGGATGTGGTAGGATATATCAATGATCTTATTGTGTAGACACCAATACTACCACAATTGTTATTTCTTAGTAAACTTTCATTAAAGAAACTCTTTCCTGTTGCCCTTTTCAAATTATTTCTTTCATTGCTGTTTTGTTCTTAGTTTAGTAAATATATTTCCTTCTATTAAACTTGTTAAGATATTTATTTCTTTGTCTTTAGTGGGCGAAAGTGGTCCTGGTTCTGGAGCAATCCTTATCCCCTGAAGTGCGGCATAGCATGCAACTTATGTACTCTCAACCTGTATGGGAAGGCCTTCCTGGCAGAGCCATGGTACAGCAAACAGAGAGAGAGGTAAGGTCATCAACAGAGGTCAGGCTCAATCAATGTAGTCATGAAGGTCACGCAGTCATAATATATAAATTGATCTTCAATATATGTATTTTGAAGACATGATGTACTCTTAATCTGCATTGTTACATAAAAACTGTAAATCTTGAATCCTTCTTTTTATAAGAAATGTTTAAAAAGTGTTTTGTCAATAGTCCACAACCTTTGGCTTTTCCCTCATTTTAAAATTCTAATTACATCCATTTTCATAGAGGAGACAATTTTTCAGTTTTAAAGGTCATACTCAAAGTTTTGGCACTACTTTTTTTGTCATTCTTAATTAGACCCATGATGACAGAGAAGTGCAGAAGTCCCGTCAGCGCAACAGCCGTAACACCAAGATGAAGTACATTGATGGGGAATGGGTGCCACCTCCTATGAATGACCGTCCCCGTGACAGTGTCTTAGGGGCACATCAGCAGGGTGACTCAAAACCTCCCATGACCCTTGTTGTACCAGAAACAAAGATCATTCCGCCGGATGGGGACTATGTGTGATTATGTATTCCACCATTACCATCAATGTATGTTGTGTTGATAAACCACTATTGAAAGAAACTTTACATTCAAGCTACAGTCAAACCAGTCTTCATGGCCGCCTGTCTACATTCTCGGGCTCTTTTTCTTTATCCCTTGGATGGCTTTTATGGACATGTTTGACAGTATTGAAGAGGCAAGTTTGCAGATAATATAGTACTTTCATCATATACATCTTATAAAGCCTGTGCCTGAGTAGGCACATCACAGGCATATCACGGTAACTGGAATATTCACATACTTCAATGTTTGAAGATTGTCTTCTATATTAGGTTGAAAGGCATGTGATATTGGTTTTTCCCCTTATCATTGAAAATGGGATGATTATAAATTCAATTTTTCAACGCTCCAATGTTAGATATTAGGTCATTTTTTTAGAAGTAGTTAAATGTCATTAGACAAGTAGACCTACTGCTATATGGGTTAATATGCTCGTAGCAATAGACCTGATGATGTAATCAAGTACATTTTAGATAAATAAACTCATTATTAACTTGTGTGAATCCCATTATTCTCTTTATGTTCCATGGCAAGTAATATGTAACCTATGTACTGTACATAATATTTATTGAGTATATCATATTAATCATAAAACAGTTGGACACTCAGAAGTAAAAGTTTATGCTTTATAGCAAGTATTTACTATTTACTAGTGATTATATTTATTGATTATATTATACTAAGCATATAATAGTTTGAGACTCAGAAGTTAACAGTGTCAATTAAGCACTGTGAGAAATCTGGGTGTATGGCACAATTCTTGTTTAAACATAGGGAGCCACATATCCAACACGTGTTAATCTGTTTTTTGTTGTTGTATATGTTATACAATCTTCCCCACATGTATAGATACCAGAAAAAACACTTACAGCCTTGTCCATGCATGTATAATTAGTAAGCTTGATTAGACTTATTCTTTACATGTAAACATGCATGTAAATTTGAAATCCACTTGCATCAAAGTGTAATCTGACACATGCTTGGGTGACATGTGCTCAATTCAAATCTTTATTTCATCAAAGACATTGGGTTTAGGGTTCGGTGTGATTGTAATTTGGTTGGAATTTAGGGAATTTTCTAATAGAAATTGACTGTCGAAGCATTTGTCACTGGAGCAACGGTAATAGAACTATCATTAGCCCTCTTTTTACAATCAATTTTTTTTCGCATTCTCGATGTGATTCTGTTACTTATTTTTTAGGAATTCATCTAAGCTCATTATACAGCATGGTCGACATGTTTTATGTTTAGTTTTATCGCACCTTGCTGCATATGTTGCTGCATGTTTATGAAATTCATGTTATTGTCGCAATGGCATTAGAAAATTGTACAAGTTACATGTACCAACTGCCAATGAAGCGGATGACATAATAATTACCTGGAAGAATATGCATTTGCATACAGCTCAATGATCAACAAAGCAACATTTAAAAAAAATATTACAGTATCTCCAGCCTTACATAAATGTAGTTAAAGGTTGCTATCATCAGTCAAGGTACTAGTAGCATGTTTGTAATTTATATTGTAGAATGATTAAGCAGGTGTTGATGAATTATCTTCAGTACTTTCATTGAAGCTATATTTAGTGCTTTGCATGTATTTTTTTTTACTTGTTAGAGGTTTGTACATTTGTGTGGACCAAACTTTTATGCCAATAACCTTTATTATGAAACATGAAACTATATTTGTATGACATTCTGCCCAAATTATCATAGTTAAGCGAGAGATTCAGAGCTAGGAAATAAATCATTAGATACATTTTTAAAGATTTTTTTCATTTGTTTTTGGAAACATCATCCCAAAGGATAAGTGTTGGTATACTGAAAGATGACCTTTATTCATGCCTATTGATCTACGATATTCCATCTGAAAATGTACAAGGAATATATTAAAGAGTATATTTTTGGCATGATGTATCATATTTTAGCATGACATAGGCGCTGCCTTTTCTTGATAACGTGACACACCAGGCGAACTTGTACATGTATCAAACACAAGCTGTAGTTATAGAGACATTTTAATTCATTAACAAAACCTATCATTTTCAATGAGGGAAAATCATAGCAGAGGCGGTAAAAATAATATTTGGAAAAAAATAAATAATAGGAACAAAGTTACTATACAGTGCGTCCCAGAAAAAACGAAACCGAGAACTATCGATGTTTTATCATAACTTAATCACAATTATAATTAATAAATGAAACAAATTGGGAAAGCTTAGATCCTCCTCTTTCATTCGATGCATTTCATATGATGCATATTTCACGCATGAGTGATTAAAAGCAATTTGAAGAGAGGAAACCAAAAAGTCATTTGGCGGACGGTATCTGAATTTTAAAGGGTAAATCACATTTCTAGAAAGTTCAATTTCTACCCTTTCATATGACACCTGTTATTCCTGTTATTCCTGGTTCATTTTTCTGATGGAGGTGTCATATGAAAGGGCAGAAATTGAACTTTCTAGAAATGTGATTTTCCCTTTAAAGACCGTCACCACTACTGGGCAAGAAGGGATTAGACCACACAGCGAGCCAGCGAGGTCGATGTGACAGGTGGCTATCTCATTAACTCAGCTCTCATTTAACATAAGAAAAAGAGGATAATGGGGGACCAACAGGCACCGATTGGGGAATTTTCTATATAGAGGGAGCAAGTAGCTACAAGTATGGCAGTGTGCCTTTAAAATTCAGATACTGCCCGCCAAATGACTTTTTGGTTTCCTCTCTTCAAATTGCTTTTAATCACTCATGCATGAAATATGCACCATAGGAGTTGCATCAAATGAAAGAGGAGGATGTAAGCTTTCCAAATATGTGTCATTTATTAATTTTAAGTGTGATTAAGTTATGATAAAACATCGATAGTTCTCGGTTTCGTTTTTTCTGGGACGCACTGTACAATCTATTAAAATATAGCAGTTCAAAAATCTTTTTAATTCATGTGAAACTGTCATCCCAAGAAAGCAACAACTTAATCATGCAATTTGCGTTCTGACAATTGTACAAAAGATAAGAGCAGGCCAATGAAATATTTCATCACTGAACCCATGTGAGAAGGAAGTATCCATAAATTTGAATACATTTACTTGATAACCGACTTTGTTTAGTACGTCACGTTGTCAAGAAAATGGAGATGCACATGTCGAGCGGAGAAACTCTCCATTGCCCTAAGAATATTTTGCTTCAGACATTTCTCGTAACTTTGCTGGAGAATATTGTAAATTAATAGGCAGAATGCAATAAATCTCTGAATAACTAAAGTACTTTTTTGGGGTTAGGTTTCATTGTAGGTAATCTGATTATGCAAATGTCCTATGGTAATCAGAAAACTGTTGGAGCAATGTTTTAGGCAAGCTACGTATTGTTGGATTTAATGCAAGTTCCAGTTATTGTTCCGTGATATGGTTTTTTTTTTTGCTTCTAATTTGCAGAAATGGTTATCAAGATTGAATAATAGTGTGGCAGAATATATGGACTAGCTCCCAAGTGAAGGAAAATGTTCATATTTTATAATAATGATAATAATGAGATTTATACAGTGTCAAATATGATTGAAATCAAATGCTCAAGGCGCTCTTGTGCAAAAAAAAACACAAAAATCACATAAAACCATCTGCATTATAAACAAAGTAACAGGAGTCGATAAGATAGAACATGAAATTATAGAGAACATTTGATTATATGCTGAATCAAACAGATATGTTAAAAGATTATTTTGTAACTGATCTGACCTTCATTCATTATTGTTCTCATCAATCTAAATTTGAAAGAGATTATATGGCAAACTTTTAGCAATAAATCATTCTACATTGTTGTAGATATGTAAATTTTTTATTTATAAAATATGAATTGCATATTGGTTGAGCTTGTGCACTGCATTGTTAAAACTAATATTTGTTGATTATATTTCAAATATTCTTTGGCTATAACTTGATGATTATGCATTGTAAGCTGACAAAAGTGCAATATAATTATGCAAACATGTATTCATGATATTTTAGCTTGTAAAATGATAAATATGTAAACTACATTCGGTGTCTTTATTATATATTTTGCATTGAACTGTGTAAGTGATGTACTTTCACAGAAATCTCAGGATATAATTTAACTTTTCTCTTTTGTCTTTCATTTCATGTGCTGAAATGTATATTAATAATGCATATACCTTTTTGTTTTCAAATGAGCTACCGGTAAATATTTTGAAATCATGAATTGGGATTCCTTCATGTATGTCAATAGTCACAAGGTGGAGACATGGATATATACTAGACAATGATGCAGTTACAATTTCACATATCTTCTTGATATTAATGCTATATGTACAGTCACTTTGTTATTATCACTTTAAACAAATGCTGGAGCAAATGCTGGATATAACTCAATTTGGAGTAAAAAGGAGGGAGATAGAATCCAAACATGAGGGTATCATCAAGCATAAAAGCATTCATGTTCATCAAATTTATTAAATTATATTACATGTAATTGCAATATATCAAATCATGAAATATATGATTAACGTCTGCTCAAATTCACATAGTATTTACAGTCAAACCTGTCTCAGTGACATCCTGTCTATAAAGGCCAGCTGTCTAGTGGCCATGCAGTTTGTCTCTCCTGATCGAGAGAGGAATGTGTGTTGTAGAACCTGTCTAGAAAGACCAACTGTCTACAGGGGCCACTTAATAGTCAGGTTTGACTGTAATTGCAAAATCTATAAAGTATTTAATAAAAGTGTCATTCCCTAATTCAATGAATTCAATTCTTTTTGCTGTGATTATCCTCACAGTGGAAATAAGTTGCTGAATGAAAGAGGCTTTGAGTATTAAACCAGGGAGGTGAGACAAATCACTTCCCTGAGTAAACCAAATGCCATAAGTGAGTGTGTTGTGTATGTGTGGGTGCGTGTGTGTGTGTGTACAAAAAATACTTCTGTTAGGTTCTACTTTTACATGTACATGTAAGTCCATTTTGTGAGTCCTCTGCTGTCTGCATCGATTATTATCATAACATACAATTTCTGTACTGCTTAATGTCAATAAAAGAAATTCTCCAAAAAACACATCAGTGCATGTCGTGCCCAAGGCTTCGCTCATTTTTGGCTTTCATCAAGTTGGGACATAAACTTCTGGTTGTGGTTCTGCTTTGTATAGTTTGGCTTTCCGATCTGTAATGTGAACAAAAATTGACCTACTGAGGATGGGAAATACACTTGAAAACTGATAATTCAACTGAAAATGATAGTACCCAAAAAAAATGAAGTACTTTCTTAACAAATAGAAAGGTTCCCTGAAACAGGAAAAGAAAACTTGAGTTTGAGTAACACTTCGGGCTAAACTACTATCATAGGAGCGATGACCTAGCTCGACGTGATGGAGCCCTGCATGTAAACCGCATGTAGAATGTCATAAAGAAGAATTGGAATGCCAAATTTAAATGGGGCATAACAAGTTATAAGGAGGAAATCTCGGCCGTTTCATGGTGTGAAGGAATGTAGGTATCAGCTTGGATGGCCGTTAGCCCGAGTCCATAATCATATTTTTTCCCCAACTTTCAATTTGCCAAAATTAGTATAGGTGTTCCAACTTTGTGGGCTGAAATATTACATTGGACACATACTACTCCATGAGAAATATAAGTTACGCGCGAATGCGCGATAGGGAGAAGTAGGATATCTCTAAAGTATACTTTTTTCTTCATTTCATGTGTCCCCCCCACCTGTGACTGAATGATTGTGAATGCATGAATTTTTTATTGAGAATACTGAACATGGCAGCCCGTTGGCTGAATTACTTTCAGTTTACAATAAAAACAAATAATTTTAGGTACAAACTGATTTTGGAATAATTGCCAGTTATGTAACAACAAAACTATACATGTGTGTGTACCTGTCACCTACAAAAATAATTTCAATACAGTTAGAAAAGCTTTACTCTATATATATATATATATATATCTATCACATTCCGAAACTTCCTGTCTGGGTACGTCTTATTGTTTCAGATTGACCTGCAATATTTTTAGCTTTAAAAAGGTGTAGGTCATTAATATTAGTTAAATGTCATCTGATACATGTAGAATCAAAAGCCTTCAAATTTGAAAACGCATTTTCACCATATTTAATACTGTACTGTGCGGATAAACCACCTTATAGCCAGTTTGTGCCCTAACTTCAATGAGAGTACAAAGCAAAATTTCAGCTTTAAAATAGTGTAGCTCATTATTTAATTTAAAATACCAAACAATGATTTCAAAAGCCTTCAAATTTAAAACTCTTTCCGCCATATTTTTACGCGCATTGTGCCGATAAACCCCCGAATTGCCGGTTTAATTGAGCTTCAAATTTAGTCTAAAACAATAAAACCAAAACAAGAAGTTTCGGTATGTGACATATAATATGAGAGTACAGAGCAAAATTTCAGCTTTAAAATGATGTAGGTCCTTATGTCCTTATGTCATGTGATAATTTAAAAAAAAACATACACATTAAGATAGTCGCCGTCACCCGAGACGTGCAAAATTGTCCTTTTCCTTTTAGATTGAACGATTTGAAGACACTACAACCCCTTTATTGGTTTCTGGCCTACTCCTTATTGGTCGCAGTCATCATCTCTATGGCAGGCATTATGTGGGGGTGAAGCTTTTCTTCACGCACCTAATCGGAGATGAAGGTAGCCCATCCAATGTGTAAAAATTGCCAATTTGATAAGTGTAAGGATCGCATTGTACACATACAACCGCTATACTACACACACGCAATATATTCTTTGTGTATTGTATCCGTCAGGCATGATCAATGCAACGATGGCTGGCTACCAATTAAAATAGGCATGGTGGTCGGATATAATGAGAGTAGATGATGGAGTTGGAGGGGATATGGTCGCAGGCTTGTTGCATATTAGTCGCTAGGTTCATGGAGCGCGCAGGTTTTGACTTACGTTTTAGCGATTTACCCTCAGCATGCACTAGCTGGTTGATGATTTTCCTGGGAGACTAAAGAACTTGAAAAGGTATGAACATTTCATGTTTTAGAGAAAGAAAACTATATTTGGATGAGATATGAAAGTGTATAGATCTAAGGTTACACACTTTATAAGGATAGACCTAATGTTACTGTATTCTAGGCCTAATAAATACAAGAACATAAACTTAGTTAACGTTAGATCTCTAGATCTAGGAATGATTGTAAACATCAGATTGTGCACCCAGACTCCAAAGACGTAACTCCAGGAAGCTCCGACGCCTACGCCGAAGGCGTCTTTGGCGTCGGTGTCGGACTCGTCGGAGTTTCCTGGAGTTACCAGAGACGGTGCTGGATCTGCATATAGATCTAGACCTATCTCGACCGGTGGTCGGTCCTAGACAGAAAATTTGGGCAGAAAATTTATGTCTCTTTCGTTCGTTAGCCTCTAGCCTAGTCTAGTGACTGAAAGAGTCTTAGGCCTAGCCCTAGCCTAGCCTAGGCCTATCTGGGTAGGGTTAGCTGCACTCAAATAATATAGGATCTAGATCTAGACCGAAATTTCTGTCTCTTTCGTTTGTTATGCTTGCTAGATCTGTTTACACTAGACCCTAGATGTTCCTGGTGGCCACGGCAGCCCCGTTTGCCTGAAACGTAGTGCGCATTAACTAACAGCAGGCCTAGACCGAAAGCTTCAGTCTCTATACCGTCGGTTGTTCCACTGAGACTACGTCTGGCTCCACTAGACCTCCGGTTATAGAGACTGAACGATCGCCTATGCCAACCTATGTTGAAGATATCACGGCTAGATTTTAGCCGTTAGGCCCCTCCCACAAACATGAACAAACTTGCCACGGCCGTATTGCCTATTGCGTCTCAGTGGAACAACCGACGGTATAGAGACTGAAGCTTTCGGTCTACAGCAGGCCTAACAGTTTAAAATGAGGGTGCAAGAATTTCAACAATTTAATTTTGACGATGAAAGCAAATCCGGCGCTAGACAGAAATAACCGTCTGATTTGGTCATTTCTTTTAAAAAACTGACTTTTGTTGACATTCCCAAATACAGACGGCAACCCAGGGATCTCGTACCGTGGGGGAGGCTAGAGCCACCGATGTACATCTTTTTGTTCAAAACATTTTCTCCCCGATTTTCTTTATTTAGATCTTATTTTCTGATTTCTAAATCAGATGTAAATTAGGTCGGTATATATACCTCCTAATTACAGTTTTCAAAATTTGCTAACCTATTATAGAATGTGAAATTTACGGACTTACTTATTATGAGTTATCCATACCGATGGTGGGTTGCCGGCGGGCGCGCGCCTGTGTGAAGTTATCTACCGTAATGAGGATCTGAGACATTACGGTAGATAACTTTACACAGGCGCACGGCCGCCCGCAACCCACCATTGGATGCACTTGTATTGTGCAGCGGTTTGCCGTGAAACCTGTGAAAAAGTGTATACTAATATAAACGTTTATCCGAAAAATACTCCAAAAGTAACAAGAAAATTGACACGCGAACAGGTAATAAACATAACAACTTTTAACTCATGATCTTTATTTGGACATTTAATGAATATTTACTTTATTTTGAGTACCGTTATGTTTTAGTATGGTATCTTCACGCCGGAGTTACTTGTCAAATTTTGGATAGGCTTCTGAACAAGTGCCGAAAATTCTTTAAAAAATCATTCCAACACAGCATACAGTCAAGCTGGTAATTGGCACAAATAGGTGCATTACTATCCTGGCTGTGTAAGTTTTGGGTTATTATGATGCATTGCGTTTTAAAACACTTGCACTAAAGGACTAGTTTTGTACCACAAACACACCATATGCATGTAAAGTTCATAAGGTTGGTATTTTCAGTTTGAATGCAAAGCAATTGAAATTATATTATTATTTCCATAGTGATTGTATGCATACCTGCCAACCACCCCGATTTAGGCGGAGTTCCTCCGCTTTTTACATACCAACTCCGAATTCCGAGTGCATGCCTCAAAACTCCGATTTTTTTTAATAAGAAATGTAAAGCGCCTTAAGCATGTTCATGTAAAGGCGCTCAATAAATACCAATATGTATGTATGTATTTATGTATAAGACTAAAGCATAACACAGCACTGATAACCAGATCACGCCGACATCCGCGCTCGCGCTCATAGAAGATGTACACAGCGCAGCCCGAACGTGATCGTTAGTTCCGCAGTCACCCCCTGTGTACCCCCCCCCCCAATCTACGGGCTACTACCCCAATCCTTCGGTGGTTCGCGACCTCGTAGTCCATCCAGAAAAATTTACTCCTAATTTCTCTTGTCTCAGGTTGGCAGGTATGTGTATGGTATGAAACAAAATGAAATATGGTATGTCCTCGATTTTGATATCTTGTTTTCATTACTTATAATTTTACTTGACACAGATATAGCAGCCATGGCAAAAAATACCACCTTGTTGCTTCAGAAGTTACGTGGCTTTATGCAAAGCTCTCAGTATGGCGGTCCAATACAAGCCTATATCATTCCGTCATGTGATTCTCATCAAGTGAGTTCATGTTAGGTAGATATCGTACAAGCCTATCTCATTCCATAATGTTATTCCCATCAGTTGAATTCCATGTCAGGCTGATCTCATACCAGCTTATACATTCCATTATGATATTCACATGAGGTAATGTAGATCTCGTATAAGCCTGAATGTTTCCATCATGTTAGAGAGCTCACAATACTGTGGTAGAAATACCGGTAATGCTAATGTCATTGATGTATTAATAATAATAAGAATAACTAAAATATATTACAGTACCACTGTCAGCAATTATGTTATCTTGCTTCCTATCACTTTACACATCACAACATATACCACATTGATATTATACCTTTGAATAAACTGTACATTTTGAGGTTTTTGAGCTATTACCTTTTAGAGGGATTAATAAAGATGAAATATTAACTGTTGTGTGCTTTGTAAACTCCATGTACCAACAATGTTGAGATAGTAGTTCATGTTTATTTGTAATTTGTTATTCTTCTTCAGAATGAGTACATAGCCGAGTGTGACTGCAGGCGGCCATTTATAACCGGCTTCACTGGATCCAGCGGTAAGAATGTAATGTCCTGGTGTATTTTTTTTAAATATTTGGGACACTTAAATCAATGAAGTTTAAATTATTCATTTTTACACCTCTATATGTTTGGAAAGCTAAAGCAAATAATAGTGATGCTCTGTTTATATTTTTCAGTACTGATGGAGTTTAGCTGGTATAGCATGGTATACTTATTTTGTTTACTGTATACCTCACTTGTGTTGTCCTTTTTAAAAAAGACACTATTCATTATAAACTGAGTTTGCTAGTTATGTTGAGATTTATACTGTGTATTTAACATTTTGAATGTTTTTCTTTTGATATCAAATTGTGAGTTGTAATACATATGGAAGTTTAAGTGCTATATATATATATATTTTTTTTTTTTTTTCCCCTCTATTTTTTTACCATAGGAATGTTGCTTTCTTTTCAGTGAAAGAGTTGTAGTTATTTCAAAATTAAGTTTTTATAGAAATATTTAATTAATTTTCAATTAATAATCCTCTATAGAATGCATTGCTATATTTAGAATTAAAATCTCAAAATTTGCTTGATAAATGTTTGGAGGAACATTACCATACATGTTCAGATCTTGACATCTTTAGGACAAGGAATAAAGAATATTGAGCTTACGGAAAATCAAGCTCAATAAATATTTAGTTCAGGGAATATAATTAAATGGCAGAATATCTAGGGCAAGAAATATTTAGTTTAAGAAATACTGAGTGCAAGCAATATATAGCTCAATATAATGAATTCATTGATTAGACAGCCTGTGTATCAATACAGTTTTGTATTAAGACTATAGAATATGCCTTGTATTCATTCTAACATTTAATTTCCTTCTACTGTAGGCACCGCTATTGTGACAGAAATGAAAGCAGCAATGTGGACTGATGGAAGATATTTCCTCCAGGCGGCCAAACAAATGGATCAAAACTGGACACTCATGAAAATGGGTAATGCTGAAATCATCTTTATTATTTGTAATTAATGATTAGCTATTAAATCTCTCGAGTCTCGACTGACTCTACTCATGTAATCGTCTTGCGATCTGCGGCCTGATGCATAGTTGTGACTGAAATACACCGTCAACAAATCAGACAAAAAAAGAAGAAATATCATACTTTGATACAGCATGCCATCATAATTGTTTGCCAATCAAGACGCATTTTAGCTTTGCCAAGAAAATATTCTACCTTTTTGGATAGTATTGTGAAGGCAATAAGGAAACAATATGTGATTGCCGATTTGCCATTTTCCTATATGCATGTATATGGAAGGCTTAGCACCTGTTTAGCTAGGTAGGATCTTTAAATGGCTTTAACTAAAAATTATACCATGACAGAATGACGAGCAGTATTTTGTTTTGCTGTTGACTGCATTTAATCTGTTGGTGGTTCTGCCATTGTGTTAAAAAAGTGGAGTTGGAAAAAGAAATGAGCAGTGTACATGTTTTGAATACTCCCTTGTGATACCAGGGCCGTGTCTTATTAAGAGTTTATATTAATCTCAACATCTTTGCAATTGAAATCAATCACAACGATGTACATAAGAGATATGGTACTGCAAACCTGTGAGTTATCAAGCGCATCTCTTTTTAAGACGGGGCCCAGTTAACAAGGGTACTAATAACTTTCCAAGACCCTCAGACCATATTCTTTCTACAAATGTCATGATGGTTTTTGTACCTCTCCTTTACAGGTATGCCCAAGACCCCAACTCAGGAAGAATGGCTGACAGAGGTAAGTACTTACATTAAATGAAAACACCTATACCCAAGTGACTCTTTTCTGCTTTGGTTCACTAGTAGAACTTGCAATAGACCAGTCTAGTTTACTCTTATCACTTGTTCAGTATGAGGTGTCATGCCTTCATATTGGGATTTAAGCAATTTTAATTTGTTCTTGAGTTTTTTTTGGTGGCATGTAGGTATCCTTTTTATAGTTTCAAATTGTTTGCATGGAGCTTAAAGTAGATATTCATTGATTTTAAAAACTAACTTTATTTTCATTATTGCAAAGTTGAAACTTTGCTTCGACAAGTTTATCAAAATTCAATGCTTGGAAACATTCGAAGTAATGATTATTATAAATTACAAAACACTTAAATACAGCCCCGGCATAGCACCTGAAGAGACAAAGGCGCCGCTTTTCCGGTGATGGCGGCAGGGTCAACATCAAAAACTAAACCTAAGGTTAAAGGTAATACAAAGTTTTTTGGGAGATTTTGAAAATTGGCTGGATAAAGATTCTTTACAATCTTGTAATATTTGGATGCCCCTGTGGATGTATTATAAGCACTAAAAAAAAATTGAAAAAATTTACCGGTGCTCCCGGTAAATTTCTATAATTTTCAAATCACGCCTATGGCCATAAAATGAAAGCTGTGACAATGAAAATCTCAGAATGTGTAGTTCTGGGGGTTGATTCACTAACTGGGAACGATATCATTCCTATAAAGAGCAATCCCAGCTTAAAACGATTCTACCTGACTGGTTCACTAAATCACTTTTAGGCTGGGATCAATCCCAGCGTGATTAATCATGTTCGCGATCAATCCAGCCAATCATCAGGCTCAAATTTTGGTCACTGGGCATCAATCAATCGCGAGATTGACGATAATTAGCTAGCTAGCTATCATTACTTAACATTTGTTAATGACGTTCATTTCTATGTTGATTTTTTTTCTAAAATTAGAAAACTGAGTTAGATTTCGCATAAGACTGAAACAAAATCATTCATGCCGTTTTCATGTAGCAGTGTGAGGATGAACACGGTTTTATGTGGGTATAGTTTGTCTATCTTTCTACGCTTGTCTCCAGTAAAATGCCGGATTTAACGTACGTAATGTACATGTACGTAAGTTAGACCTAGGTCTATAGGCCTACAATCCCCAGTTTGACAGAAAGTGTTGCTAATGATGTAATGAGTAGCATAATGGTTACACACAAAAGGCAATACTAAGAGCAATCCGGATCACTCTCAGCCTTAATAGCGATTTTACTCCTAGTATTAATCCCAAATGCCTTAGTGGACCAGTCCTTAAAAGCGATATTGCTCTTAGGAGTGATATTGAGCCTAAGAGCGATTTAATATCATTTATGATCGATTTTAGCTGTTAGTTAATCACCCCCCTGATATATAATTTCCAAACGAGAATAGCCAATCGGTCAATTTTACTCAAGAAACATTATTTTTATAGCTAAATTAATATATTGACCTTGAGAGGGAGCTATACAACTAAAAGAGTTTATTATTTACAATTTCATCACTGTAGACTCGATTTCAACTGCGACAACGATCACTGAATATTGTAGGATCGAATATATGTTTCCAATACGTTCATTTGAACCAAATTCATGACCCCAACCAAAAACTTTGTAATACCTTTAAGTTTTTTAATTTTTAATATAATTTTGAAAGTACATGTAAGTTCTTTTTCAATGAAACTTGGACAAGTATCCCCAATCATATGAGTAGAATTTCAGGTCATAATGTCAAGGTCAAAGGTCATTTCGGGTCAACAAACTTAGACTACTGTATGTTGTGGCATCAACATCAAAACTAACCAAAGGTTAAGATTTTGAATTTTTTTCATAATTTGGAAAGTATACATTTCTGTTCCATGAAACTTGAACACAGGGGTTATCAAGTATCACCAATCATGTGATTAGTCTTTTAGGTGACAAAGTCAAGGTCGAATGTCATTTCAGTTCTGCAAACTTACTCTTTGTTGCGGCATCAACATCAAGATTTTGATTTTTTTTTTGTTAGCATAATTTCAAAAGAGCAAATTCCATGAAACTTGTACCCAAGGGTTATCAAGTATCACAAATCATATGGCACAACTTTCAGGTCACAAAGTCAAGGTCAAAGGTCATTTTAGGTCAGTAGATTTGGATTAGGTTTTCACAACTTAGTATGACAATTAATAAATCAATTTTTGTTATTTGTATCATATTTCATGAAAGTTATCAATCTTGGTACAAATTATAGTAAATAATTCTTCTGATGATTCTTACCGGTAGTCAATATTCACTTCAAAATTATGATTTTTTTTGAGGATGTCATATTTGGGGGCCTGCTAATGGGCCACCCTGCCTATAAATAATGTCCCAACCTCAATTTTTCATCATATCGAATAGCGTAATGCAGGCGAGACCACCAAGAGTGTTTCCCTTGTTTTTAAATGAAAATGTTACCTAGTGTTATTAACAAAGTTAGCATTGCACACATTCTAACTGATAAATTAAATTAAATGTTTTGAGTGCCATCATGATCCTGACTATAATTTTTAAGCAATGGACCCTTTTGATGATGTATTCAATAATGCAGTATAAAGCAATTCTTTCCAAAGTGAAAAGCTTCTTTTAGCTTAAAATTGACATATGAATCAAACATGTTGATAAATATTACATTCAGGAAAATCTGTGCTAGAAATCATATTTTGGGGAAATGAAGGGGACAATTTCTTTTGCTTTGGAGTTGCATTAATCACACATCGGTAGGTATCAACAAAACAATTCTGCTTTAGAATTGGAATTATATTGAAATAATTACATGTACATGTAGGTATTGTAAGGTTTTAAGTTTACTGATTCAAATGGTTACTTGTTTATGCTTTCCACTCTGTTATGCTTCAGTGCACTCCTGATCTGACCTACATTCATTATCTGATGTATGTTAAGCTCTTGGCTTCTATTGTTCTGTCCCTATTTATTCATCCTCATTCAACATTACCTGCCATAGCACTACAAACAGACATACATACACACACACACACACACACTCTTCCTATCTCTTGGCTGGACACATGGCACTCTATCTTTCCTTAGGCTTTCTATTGGTTACTTCATGTACAACCTTGTGATTGGCTGTTATTGTCTATGGACTGCATGTCAGCCATTTTGGCAGCCATTTTAAAGATGTAGTAAATATAGCAGTGCAGCTCAAGTCATGTCAGACTAGTTTTGTCTTGTGTGAGTCTTACAACTTGTGGCAGCAGTGGTTTTTCTGCACTCAACTGTAATTGCAGCCTTCCTTCATGTAGAAATTCATGCAGATTTTACAAGTGGTAAGTTGCAGAACTGTGAATGTAAATGTTTGAGAGCATGAAATCATCCTTCTCACTGATTAACCTCCCTTCATTTTTACTTGAGGCAGTTAGCGTCGGTGTGAGTTCACCCTCCTTCATTTATTACTAAAGTTTTTGAGCCTTGATTCCTTCCTACATCAATAATTTTGTGAATTTCTGCATTCATCAGTGAGTGAGATTGTGTAACCTTCTTCATACTGAAGCTGTATTTTTGTGAATTCTGGCATTCATCCTCGTCGGTGAGGGAGGGTTTTTTTTCACCCTTCATACAGAACTTTTTCTTTTCTTTCAGCAACTTATCACAGTCAGATTGCATGTATAGTCTCCCTTTGGCAACCATACATTACTGCATTCTGCCGTATAAACCTGTATATTCTACATAGTTTTGGTGAGGCAACATAACCAGTTGCACCTCATTCCTTTATAGCTACTCAACAAAGATATTTGAACTGTCGAGTTTGCATTTTCTTTCATCTGCACTCAGAGTGACCCCTCCCCCTTCATTCACAAGTTTTGCTGTATTGATACCCTATTGCTGATCATCAGGACGTGGCCATGATGGTAGAAACATGGGACGTCGCAGTTCTCCATCACCAACCTGTGACTACCGGAGGTACGGATCTCCAGATCAATATGCAAGACACAGATCTCCAGATCAATATGCAAGACACGGATCTCCAGATCAATATGCAAGACAAAGATCTCCAGATCAATATGCAAGACAAAGATCTCCAGATCAATATGCAAGACAAAGATCTCCAGATCAATATGCAAGACAAAGATCTCCAGATCAATATGCAAGACACAGATCTCCAGATCAATATGCAAGACACAGATCTCTAGATCAATATGCAAGACAAAGATCTCCAGATCAATATGCAAGACACAGATCTCCAGATCAATATATGCAAGACACAGATCTCCAGATCAATATGCAAGACACAGATCTCCAGATCAATATGCAAGACACAGATCTCCAGATCAATATGCAAGACACAGATCTCCAGATCAATATGCAAGACACAGATCTCCAGATCGATATGCAAGGCGCAGATCTCCAAGCTCTAATCGGAACTACACACACCAATCTAGGACTTCGCCCTCTAGAAGGCCGTATTAATCATCTAGCAGCCAAAATCAGCAGCTTCATCCCTTCATTACAGGTTATCAAGTTGACTCCATAGACAGGCTCCCTATCGTCAAGTTCGCTTCGAAGACCAGCAGCCGGGAAATTCTGGTAGTTGAGGAAGAAGACAGTTCATCCAATTAACATCTATTTCGCCAACGAAAACACCCTACATCCCTATCGTTGTCTCAAATGTCTATGTATTGGCACTTGTAGATAGTGGATCATTCATATCTCTGTTAAATTGTAGGTGAACGGCACGCCCAGTCAGATGCTCTTTTTTATTGTATGTATGTAGGTTAGGGCTTATTGTAGTTAATTTTTGGCTGGGAGATGGTGACCTGTGAATGATGAGCCTACCGGGCCTGCCCCTTAAATTGTAGGTGAACGGCATGTTTAGTGTCGTGTTTGGGATCGGTGTCGTAAAGTTATTGGAATATTGAGAGGTACATGAAATAAAGAGATGCTGAGACTTTCTTTGAAGTGTAATATGCAAGAGTATAATTTATTATAACTCTAAAA